GTCGGGGCTCACGCTCTCCTCATTAGTTTATTTCAGCCGGGGCTCACGCTCTCCTCATTAGTTTATTTGAGTCGGGGCTCACGCTCTCCTCATTAGTTTATTTGAGTCGGGGCTCACGCTCTCCTCATTAGTTTATTTGAGTCGGGGCTGACGCTCTCCTCATTAGTTTATTTCAGCCGGGGCTCACGCTCTCCTCATTAGTTTATTTCAGCCGGGGCTCACGCTCTCCTCATTAGTTTATTTGAGCCGGGGCTCACGCTCTCCTCATTAGTTTATTTGAGCCGGGGTTCACGTTCTCCTCATTAGTTTATTTGAGCCGGGGTTCACGTTCTCCTGATTAGTTGGACTTGTGACGCCGACCTATAGGATGAACAGAGGACTAAGTGAACCTTTTATATTTGCAAATTTAGTTTTAGAAAAAGAGAACTGTTTTCGGTATTTTAGAGGTGTCGCTTAGTATAAGATGTAAAGTAGAAGAGAAATAAAATAAAATATAACATTATATTTAATTACATCTTAAAATCTGAAAAAAGATTACCATTTATTTTTAAGAAAAGTTTTGTTGATTTAATGAAACTAAATTGATTCTAGAAACAGAATCAAGTTAAAGTTTTAATTACAGTTTCAGGATTTATTTAATACCACCGATTTGTCCGATTTAAAATAATATTTTAAAAGTTTTAAAAGAGGTTTCTTTTTTGCAGTGGCATACGAATTTTCGTTAACCTATTTTCCCAAAACTGTATCTTCCTTTTGCCTAACATATAGGGTTACTTACAAAGGATAAGACTTCAGAGACAACTGTACGCAATTTATATTTTCTGTTTTTTTATATTAATGATTTCCTGCACCTTTTTTTCTTTGATAAACCATTAAAAGACTAAATTTATGGCGTCTTAATTCAAGAATGATGTGTAGTGAATCCATGGATCAATCGTTGTCTTTTGTGTCTAAAGGATGAAATATTTTTTTTGATATCACTTTAGGGCAATATATGATCCAATAAAAGTCCCAAAGATATAACCCTCTGCCAGCTTTGTTTTAAAGTCAATTAACTATATGTTATAATTTGAATTTTTGGTTGGAGAGGTATATTGGCAGTAACGATAAATTTAAGTTGATTTGTGTTCAAAACTCCCTTTCTAAAGAGCCATTGATAACTATAGGCTTTGACCTCCTTATTTTAACTTGGTTTTTGTCACAAACTCAAATTTTCTTATCTCTATATATATCGTTGCAACCTGATGGTTAACCTTTATTATTTCAAACTTGATCTACTATATGTAGTTAGAAATAAAAAAGTCTACGGCATTGGGTCCACAAAAAAATAATTGTTTAAAAGATCTGAGCACATTCAGTTTTGTTCATTCATATTTTCTTTATTTTCTAAGTAATTCACTAGTTTCATGTTAAAATAAACCTTAAAACATTAACAGGGTTTTCATTTTTAGTTGAAAAGTAATTTTGTTTAAGGTTCTTAAATACTTAAGTGCTTACAATTTCTACATTCATAATTGAAGAAGGTTAAAACTGTTTCTAAATAGCTTTTTCACTTTAAAATTTAATCTTTTTGTTGAGAGTAGCAATAAATTCCTATATTTTCTAGTTTTATTCTAAATAACAGATTTAATCATTTAAAAAAAGTGATTTTAAACCACAAACATTGGTTAAGATATTCAATAACTTTATTTTCAAGCAAAAGTTTACCTGCTCCCCCCCCCCTCACCCTTAACAATAAATTCCCATCTCATGCCTAAGTGCTCCCTGGAAAGAATAAGTTGACAAAATTTTCTGGAAAACTTTCTCAATTTCAAATATATAGTATTCAAAATTGAAATCAGTTCTAAAAACCTTTTTCTCCAGAAGAAGAGGAGAAAGGCAAAGTTTTAGGAAAAATAGTGATTAAACTAAAGTTAAATTTTTTTGGGGGGAAATTCATATCACCTCCTGGGATCAAGGTTTTATTTAGAAAATACTTTTATATTTTTGAAAATATAAACAGGATATCTTTATATTTTTGAAAATATAAACAGGATATCTTTATATTTTTGAAAATATAAACAGGATATCTTGGAAATATTTACAAAGAGCTCAGATTATAAACGTGGGAATTTATATCAGTCAGAACTTTTGTGTTGTGAATCGATCTCGGTATCTTATGCACATCTACGGATTAATTAATTAATTAATTAAATTCTTCTTCGATATCCCGTAATGATCATATCTTGTAAGAATAATTCTAATAGAAGGATCAAGGATCTATCCTCAAATTTAAAAGTTCACATATGGATATTGAGATCAGGCGTTCAAGATTAACGATACTCATAAATTCCGGTCTCTCGTGACATACTGATTACTGAGCCTCTAATGCAAACTAAAATGTAAATCATATATGTTGAGCCTCTGAGTATAGCAAAATCAAGATTTATTTAATTTATAATTTAAAGAATGAAAACTCTAAAACAGATTAACTTTTGAAAACTGTCAAACTATTTTAATTGTTTTGAGAACTAATCAATCCTTCTCTGCATTCTTTATAAGCAACTCAAAATATTTCCGAGAGGAAAATATGTTTAAAATATCTTAGAAAATTGTATAATGTATACCCATGAGTTTTTCAGTAAAATAAAATTTTCTAATCCTTATATCTCAACAACTTGATGGTGCAAACCTTTGATATTTCAAACTTAGATTATTTGATCTACCAGAATTCATAGTTTGAAATATCTAAGGTCTATGACACTGGGTTGGAAAGATTGGAAAGAAAATTTGAGTTTGTGGAAAAGACTCAAATCCTTTTCTGAAAATATTTTAGAACTTGGTCAGTTTTTTTTCATAGAATCTACAACATTTTCTTAATTTTTCTTAGAAAGAGTATAATAAGGGCATAAAGAGAAACTACAAAGAACCTCTAAATAATGGAAAAATTGTGTCACCATAAATTTGTGTCGTTTTCCGTTTTTAAAAAGCTTCCCAGCACCTAAAATGTTATAGGGGTAGGCTTGGGACTAATGACATGTTGTGTTTGAAATAAATTTCTAAAATGTAACCAAAACTTGCTTTTTTCATACTTGGACATAAAATCAAAACTAGAGGAGCTACGAGGTTAAAAAGTCGTACCAGTGATGTTGCATAAATTTTACCATCTCCTTCTGTCTCCTTCAGTGCAAGAATTGACCAAATAAACCGGTATTAGAATAAACCAACCGGGCTTTAGGAACATCTTTGAGCGACAAAACATACTAAGTTGTGTCCCTGATCTCAAAAATGGGGAAAGTAAGAGCTTTTTATAATCCGGGAACAATCTCTTTTAGGAGGAAAATATAAAGGAATATATCTCTGTATTGTTAATTAGAGCTGAGTCTTATGAAGGTATGAGTAAACAATATACCTTTAATGTTTGTTCCTCATCCTATTCTTACAAAACAAATAAGAAGAATAATGTTTAATTATTCCTATACATAAAAGTTGAGAGACAAACTAAAAATCGTCTTGAAAATCGTTAGTTAATAAATGAGTGTATATTGCACAAGTTTGTTTGTCAAATAATGTTTTATTAAAAATGTTGTCTACCTTCTATAAAATTGCTGGAAATTTAGACAATTTTGATTATCTTATAACTATTATTGAAACTTGGACAAATATTTTAATATCTCCGCAAATTTTTAAGAAACAAATTAGTTGACAACATTTCCGAAATTCCGAAAAATTATGTGCTTTTTTGATGTCAATTGTTTTAACTTGAATATTAATGAGATTAGGATTACCAAATGGATATACACCATATACAGATCTGGTAAACCAGTTTCCACCAGAACCTGGATATACACTAAATACAGATCTGGTAAACCAGTTTTCTTCAGAACCTGGATATACACTATACAGATGTGGTAAACCAGTTTCCACCAGAACCTGGATATTCACTATATACGGATGTGGTAAACCAGTTTCAACCAGAACCTTGATATACACTACACAGATCTGGTAAACCAGTTTCCAACAGAACCTGAGCTGAAAACTTTAGAATGTGATATCCTTAATCCCGATCTTTTAATTAATCTGGAGATTAAATTCATGAGGAAAACAAGCAATATTTAATCTGGAGATTAAGAAAAGAGTGGATCAAGCATTAATCCCAATATCCACCATTATAAAGTTCCCAGCTCTGGATATACACATACAAATCTGCTAAACCGGTTTCCACTAGAACTTGGATATACACTATATACAGATATAGTAAATCAGTTTCAACCAGAACCTGGATATACACATACATAGATCTGTTTAAACAGTTTTCTTCAGAACCTTGCTATACACTATTTATTGATCGGGTGAACCAGTTTCAACCTATATTCAGGTCAAGTAAACCAGTTTCCACCAGTAAAAATGGAAATACTAAATAAATAAAGAAAACTGAATAGATAAATAGAATATTTTAAAATTTCAATATACGAGATATAACATTTCAATTTGCGTTGAATACTTTTTAGTAATGTGTGGTAATCTACAACTTTTTAGAATGTTGGTAGAAAAAGCAGTTTGAATAACTATCTATTGTATTTGTAAAGAAAAAACAAAAACCGAACGTAGATGGATTTTATTGAGTTGAGTATTACATATTAAAATAGTTAAAATCAAATTGTGCTTTTAGTCAAATTTCGCACTATTTAAATTGGAAGACGACTTTTATGCAATCTTTTTACTTATTTTAAGGCGCTCCAATGTACAGACAATGTCGTCTTCATAGCGATGGACACTCAAAATCCTCATATGACGTAACTGATTATTGGCGGAAATTATAGTGACAACGTTGCTGGTGAGAGGGGGGAAAGGATTAATTCTTCGCTTTTCTGCGCGTCTAGAGTATCTAATCTTAATAAACAACCTTGGTGTACGTACTTCTAGCTCATGGTACTTTTTAAAACCAGAACTTTAGTTTAACAGTCGTCTTCCTTTTCCAGAGTTTTATAATCCCACTTGAACTACTCTGACATTCTTACCTTGACATATGGACCTACTGCTCCGAAGAATGGAATAGTTCTTCTAACTGTCGGATCCTAAATTTTTTAATTCACTTCAAGCTAGGGACTGTAAGCGTAATTTCAAGTGACCCTTCATGCAAAAATGGCAATGCTCGATTCACAAGCTTTGTCTGATCTTAAGTATTAATTAGGTATCAATGTTTATAATCTTGATAACAGATAATTTTCAATTGTGGTTTCTCTACGAAGTGACTTGTGCATTTCTACAGCAGGAAAACAAATATAAACGACTAGAATGAAACACATTTAAAACTAGAAAAACGACAATATCGCCCACATTATTGATAAGATAAAGATTTTCATGGTACTGTTGTGAATTAGGCATTGTCATCTTTGTATGGAGGGTCACTTAAATTTACGTGAGCGTAATTTAAAAATAGAGACATACTCAATTCACAATGGACCCTTTAAACCTTTCTCTGATCAATAATGTGGAAGATATCTTGAGAAGTAATTTATTCTGGCAATTTTCTCCATGTTTCTGATCAGATGCGCACGTTACTCTATAGAGAAACCACAATTAAACATAGTCCGGTTAATGCATTCTTGAATAGACAAAGGTTTAAGGGGTACCATTGTAAATCGTACATGCCACTATATAAAAGGAGTGGTACGTCCCTTTAGCTTCCTCTTTTTGTGTGACTTTTGCGCGGAACCTTTCCGAGACCAATTTATTTGTTATCGGTTAGATAAGTTCAAGATAGAATAATTATGGGAAACTAATGCCATATAACATGGTGTAGATAAATCGTAATATAGCTTTAAAGGACAATTTACCTTTTTTATAATTAGGATAACTTCAACTAAGTCTATTTTACCGCAAAAGATATATTACTGGGAGTCCAAACGTTAAAAGATCTCATCCAAATATTAATTTAGTAAAACAAATATAAATATTAAATTACGTTTGTGTGCATTTTTAAATATTTATTGTAGATTAAATCAACGAATAAGAAGGTATATGGAAAATATAACGAATGGGCCATCCAAAGTCTTTTATTACGAAAAATTTCAATGTACTGATTATCATTAAATTTGGGCTGACATGGAATCGTTCCGTATCAATATAAGAAGACGTATATGATGCTTTAAACTTTATTAAGCAGAAATCTGATACAAGTTATTCCTAAAGTTTAGATAATTTTCGTCATCAGAAACATCTTTGAATGGTAAGATAAACTTAGTTATAATTATTTGTTTTACCTCTGTATCAATCATTTGGTTTAGTTGTCCGCTAATTGTACGCTTTAACTCAGGACCTGATTCATGCAGTTGCCTAGATAATAGATTCATGCAGTTGCCTAGATAATAGATTCTTACAGTTGTCTAGATAATAGATTCATGCAATTGCCTAGATAATAGATTCATACAGTTGCCTAGATAGTAGATTCATGCAGTTCCCTAGATAATAGATTCATGCAGTTGCCTAGATAATAGATTCATGCAGTTGCCTAGATAATAGATTCATGCAATTGCCTAGATAATAGATTCATACAGTTAGTTGCCTAGATAATAGATTCCAGTTGCCTAGATAATAGATTCATGCAGTTGCCTAGATAATAGATTTATACAGTTGCCTAGATAATAGATTCATACAGTTGCCTAGATAATATATTCACAGTTGTCTAGATAATAGATTCATGCAGTTGCCTAGATAAGATATTCATAGAGTTGCCTAGATAATAGAGTCATGCAGTTGCCTAGAAAAAAAACACGCATTTGCTTAGACAATAGACTGATTCTGTCAATTGTCTGTATATAAAGAGAGAGCTAAACTTCCATTCTTAAAACTTTTTTGGATAAATTAGACTCAGATTTTAAAATGGAAATAATAATTTAAACTGTAAGTATCTAGTGAACCAATAGTGTACAACACACAGTGTATACTATACAGCAACAAGTTTTTGTTTAATTATTTATTAACTAATTAAAATAATGTCATGTCACTAATTAAAAGTATAGATTTAACTACCTCAAATAACATGAAAGAGCAACAAAAGGTTTCTGATTAAGAAATGTCAAAAGAAAAGGTTCTTTAAAAAATGTTGTTCTGCTAAAAACCGTTTTCAAAATAACTTAAAAACATAATTTAAATGTTAACAAAAAGGACAATTCCTTTTTAATATTCAGTCCAACCAAGGAGAATATGGGAATATGGTTCTAAAAATGGAATAACATGGTTTTAAAAATGGAATAACAAATGGTTCTAAAAATGAAAACCTGAACCTGAAGCTTGATATATATGCACTGCAGTGTGAATAAAATATACCAAACATGGAATAAGATATGGTTCTAAAAATGGAATAACATATGGATCTAAAAATGGAATAACATGGTTCTAAAAATGGAATAACATATGGTCCTAAAAATGGAATAACATATGGTTCTAAAAATGGAATAACATGGTTCTAAAAATTGAAAACCTGAACCTGAAGCTTGATATATGCACTGCAGTGTGAATAAAATATACCAAACATGGAATAAGATATGGTTCTAAAACTGGAATAACATATGGTCCTAAAAATGGAATAATATATGGTTCTAAAGATGGAATAACATATGGTTCTAAAAAGGGAACAACATGGTTCTAAAAATGGAATAACATGGTTCTAAAAATGGAACAACATGGTTCTAAAAATGAAAAGACGCACTCCTATTATTTTACCTGAGTCCTGCTAACAGAGCCATGTTGGTGTTTGCCAAAGCAGATTTTTTCTCTCTACTCTCGCGTTCAAACTTCTTCTTTGTAAACCTTTTAAAATAAGAGTTTGATGCAAATAATTGGTTTCTTTTTGCAGAAAATATCTTAACATTTCATTATTTGTGGAAAATATCGAAAATATCGCAATTTTTTTTTTGAAAATTATTTAAGAATTAACAAACATTTGATCCCGGAACACAGTTTAGAAAAATCACGAATCTAGTCTGGTATAGGTAAAATAAGGCATAAGGGAGTAAATATTTGCTTTTTGCCTAACAAAATGTAAAGCAGCCTCATACCAACATAGTTTGTTTGTCTTAAAACGTCGGAGGGGGGGGATTCTCAATTTATTTCTTTTGTTAAAGGATTTTATCGTTCTTCCTGATTTTTTTTCTGAAAAGAATTTTACGACAGAGAAGAATAGAATTGAATAAAAGCAGAAAGATTAAATTATGTTGGAATAAGGAAAAATTATTCTAAAATTAAATCTTTTATCCTGCATTATACTAAACCTTTTCATATTCTGTATTATGTAAATACTTATTTTTTTACACTAAACCTATCTCCTGTATTCTTTACACTAATTCTATCTCCTGTATTCTATATTCTGTATTCTTTACACTAATCCTATCTCCTGTATTCTATATTCTGTATTCTTTACACTAATCCTATCTCCTGTATTCAATATTCTGCATTCTTTATCTCCTGTATTCTATTCCCTGGATTCTATACTCTGTATCCTTTACACTAAACCAATCTCCTGTATTTTAAATTCTGATTCAGGAAGGGTTTAAATCGTTGATTTGTACCGGTGGCAGACATTTCAACGACCCCGCAAACACAATAAGTTCGGTCCCAGGATTTTTGAATTGTAAATGTGAACTATTTTCGATAATTCTATAGAGGCATTTTTTTGAGGCTGGTCTTAAATTCTTCGTAAAAAATTTAAAACCATCTTCAAATTAAAAAAAAATTCTTCTAAATCCAATATTTTTACCTTCTAAAGCAATCTTGTATAAGTATAGAAGCGTATAGTTTTCCTACAGCTATCTCGGAGCCTATCCCTTCTCCAGACTGCGGTAATAGTAAATCTAAACAAATGTTAAACATTTTTATATCCAAGGAAAGGTGTTTCTTTTGTGTTTTGTTGTTTTTTCTTATTTCTTTTTTATAGTTCAGAGCTAAAAACTTTAGAATGGGATATCCTCCATCCTGATCGGTTAATTAATCTGCAGATTATTAACAAGTGGAGAACAAGGATTTTTTAATCTGGAGATTAAGAAAAAGAATGGAACAAGCATTAATCCCGATATCCACCATTTTTTTCGTATTTTTCAAAAGAAATACTCTTTTTTGTAAGCATTTGTCATTCTTGGAAAGACAACATGAGAAAGTTCCCAGCTCTGTACAATTTGTATATGTATGCACACTGTACACTTTAAAGTGTACAATACACACGTTATATAGTTTTATTACTTCAATGAAAATTAGTAATCTCATTCGTTTGTTTGTTTGTCTGAATATAACTCTTGAACCCATGAACCTAAATATTTTATTGGGGAACTCGTTAGAACCAAGCAAATGTTCTTTGCTTGGTAGTGCAGAGAAATAGAAAAAATCCAGGCAAAGCTGGGTTCTCAAGCTAGTTTAGTATGCATGAAAGAATAGTTTAAATGATCAACTTGTTCCATCCACCTAATCTTTTCTAGCCGCAGCGCGCAGCCCTTTCAACCGGTATAAAATATTTGTATTGTTTTACAACTTGTAGTATTCATTATTAGACTTCCTGTAAATAAGTTTAGCTTTAACTGTTGTTCTGTAAGTCGGCGATCATTCTCAAATTTTGACGGATTTTCTATTCGAATTTGCGCATTTTCAAAATATTTTTTTTTTCAATTTAGATGGTCCATAAACCTTGTCTTGTTAGGTCCCACACAACATTTGGGCGCAACCAGTACAGCCATTACGAAGTTTTTTCGATACAAACAGACAAACAAACAGATAGACAGTTCAGATAATTAAACCCTGTAGAATCAAAGATATTTGAACAACCAGGCTATAGGTACTCATGGGTACAGTATTAAACATATTGGCACATTTTAGCTTTGTAAAATGTTGAACACCCCTGGCTGCACAAACACATATGAAGAAGATTTATAAATATTCTCGGCTGAAAGGAAAGATAGGATTTAGAATTTACAAATATATTTCTGTAAAATGCAAGGAACAGGGCTCACCATAAACAAATATATATATTTTTATATATAATGTTAGAAGCAGGGTTCACCACTAACCAATATATATATTTTTATATATAATGTCAGAAACAGGGCTCACAATATAAAAATACATATTTTAACGATGAACGTAAGAAAAGGGTTCTCTAGGGTTAATTATGATTAATAAAGTTTTAAAGTAATGCAAAGACTGCAAAGAAGACACAGTAAGGTTTAGAAGTCGTCTTTCTACAGACTCATACTTTTAGTCCAACCATGCACATTGTACAATCCATACATCAATACAGATTTACTGTAAGTCCTGGAATACATTCTAGTCCTTTTATACTTCAGATAACTCACAGCTCTAAATCCAAATAAATATTTTAAACAATTCAAATGTTTATTTGACTCGAATGTTTAATAAATCACGCATTTTAAACTTTTCAAACCTTTGATATTTGTTTTGTGTAACCAGAGAGAATAGAATATACATTAGAGAGGAATTTAGAGAATCTCTCGGTATGAATTCTTTCAGTCCCTTTCAGCCTGAAAGAGAGTTCAAAGTGTACAAATTATGTAAATGTTCACAAATCATATGCAGTAGAGTACATTAATACTGTATGCTCCCTAGACTATCCATTTCAATTTCGAATTTTTTAATGCTGTTTATGAATAAACTTCATAATGATTTAGGTGAATAAAAAACATCATTTGATTTCAAGTTATAACGGACAATCATCGTTTGTAAAGTGAAAGGCATAGAGTCTATGTGAAATGATCATTGGTCAATTATGAAACCAGCCTATTTCATAATTTGGTTTTCTTTTAATATTAATTTCAGACTTTCTATAAAATGATATTCCAGGGCCCAAAAGGTTATATAGCATAAATATGTGAAGTACACCTGCAGTATGGAAACAGTACTACAAAATGGCCGTTTTACACTTTTTTCTAGAAAATTCTCCTCTAATATATATTCTATTCTCTTTGTGTGTAACCCTTTACTCCCTGCACATTGTATAAAGATGTTCGATGCTTGGCTTTATTAAAAGGGTAGATGTATAAAATCATATTTATATAAACAATTAACACCTAAACTGCCTGTCTCGAGATTGTGTGACCTACCCTTTTTGCACCTTCAACATTGACGGAGATATTGAGAAATTGGTCCAGATTACAATTTATTAAAAAATAACATAATTATTTAATATCTGTGTTAATTTTGACGTTACAAAGAAAAACGACCACATTTTGTAAAGCTCTCAAAAGACTTAAATCTTTTCAGACACTTTTTCATATTCCTCAAGTATTGGAAATTTTCAAGTTGTTTATTGTATGTTTATTGGGAAACTCCGTTTAAAAGAAATTCTATAAAATTATAAATAAAACCCTAAAATTATAAACCTATATATACGTTAGCATTTATATGACAAAACCATACAATTTGCTTCTAATATTGTTATCATTAGTTTTAGTTTGTTACCTAGCATTTTATCATTGGCCTGTTTCTTCCAGATATTTTTCATCGTTTTCCTACAAAAACTCTTCAATCAACAACACTATTTTTCAAGAAAAATTTAGCTAATGGAGTTAAAAATAAACACAGCTAAAAAAGTTAAAAATATAAATAACGCGTTGGTTTTTTTCTTTTCGGAAATTGTATTTTGAGCACAAAGGCCAAGTTTGCCTTGATATTTTAGAGGGGTAAATATTAAATGTCGATATTCAAAATTCAAGCGAATGTGAATATAACTAAGGTCAGGCTCCTAGAAACTATAGTTTTAACAAAACAATAACAATCATTGTTAGCCAAGGCCACGCTTGTAGCAAAATTAGATTAAATAGATCTATTTACTCCAATGTAACAACCCTGTCAATTCTAACTGGTTTTCATTTATAAAAATTCTAAGCAGCCGTAATTCGTCAAAGTAATAAACAAATTCTATCCTACGACCCTGACCTTAGTTCTAATCACATCGATTTAATCCATTAGCCGTAGAGTGTGAAATTAATTCACAGAAATATACAATGGAAATATATAAAACGTTAATTTAAAAAAATCTTCGAATGTTGAGTATTCTTATTCGAATGTACCTTTTACCGGCCAAATCCTCAAAAAAACGATTCAAGAAAATAATATTTTAAATGAAATAATTACGATTCAAGAAAATAATATTTAAATGAAATTAATCACGATTCAAGAAAATAATATTTTAAATAAAATTAATTATGATTCAAGAAAATAATATTTTAAATGAAATTAATTACGATTCAACAAAATAATATTTTAAATAAGACCATTACGATTCAAGAAAATAATATTTTAAGGGGGGGGAATACTTTGCAGGTAAAAACTTTATAGATGGAATATTGTCGTCGTAATTTCATTTGACCCTTTATTTCAAGAAGACATAATTCAAAAGGATATCAATTAAACCTTTATCTGATCAATCATGTAAAAGATATCGTCGTTTTTCTAGCTTAGCAATTGTTCAGATATTGCAAATAAGAAATGATTGTCATCCTAAGCCTTTTTTGCAAGCAAAAGGTTTTAGGATAAACTGCTGTGAACAGGACACTCTATAAACTGCTGTGAGTAGGACACTCTATAAACTGCTGTGAATATGACACTCTATAAACTGCTGTGAGTAGGACACTCTATAAACTGCTGTGAATAGGACACTCTATAAACTGCTGTGAATAGGACACTCTATAAACTGCTGTGAATAGGACACTCTATAAACTGCGGTGAATAGGACACTCTATAAACTGCTGTGAGTAGGACAGTCTATAAACTGCTGTGAATAGGACACTATAAACTGCTGTGAATAGGAGACTTTGTAAACTGCTGTGAATAGGACACTCTATAAACTGCTGTGAATAGGACACTCTATAAACTGCTGTGAGTAGGACACTCTATAAACTGCTGTGAGTAGGAGACTTTGTAAACTGCTGTGAATAGGACACTCTATAAACTGCCGTGAATAGGACTCTCTATAAACTGCTGTGAATAGGACACTCTATAAACTGCTGTGAGTAGGACACCTATAAACTGCTGTGAGTAGGACACTCTATAAACTGCTGTGAGTAGGACACTCTATAAACTGCTGTGAATAGGACACTCTATAAACTGCTGTGAGTAGGACACCCTCTTCATGAATGTGAAGCTACTTGAAATCATTTTTCCAGTTCCAATAAGCTTCAAAACATGAGTTTCCGTAAGCTTTCTCAAGCAATTATAATTTCGTGGAGTGATGAAAATAGTTACAGAAATTAAACCAAAAAATTTCTTTTCAAAAGTTATTGGACTGAAAAAGTAACAGAAAACGATAGGAAAACTGCAATAGATTCTTTTTTAAAGAAATTATCACAAAAATGACAGGGGGTGTTGATTCATTCATACAGTGATATCCAGGCATCTCTGAAAAAGGAAGACGACTTTATAGCAATACTTAAAGGGACCGTTCACTTATTTGGGTAATTTCAGGGTAAACTAAACAGCCTATTCGCTCTTGATTAGTAATAGTCTTACTTTTCAAAGACAACTGTGGCCGGAGAAAAAGTCGATTTTTCGTTCAGAATTCGAGCGCAAAGGGACGGTCCTTTTTCATAGACACTAATTGATGTTTTTTCAGCATGTTGTGAATCAAAATAAATTTCGAATATAAAATTAAACTGTAGTATCTAATCGTTAATTGTAAATGTCATTATTTTTATTTTTTTTTGTTTTTTAACTTTCTATTTCTAAAATAACACTATTTTATCGCATTCAAAATTATGTATTGCCTGTGTAAAAAGTTGAATTGGACGCGGCATGACAAATGGAAAGTTGTGCACATACGGGAAAAAAATCTACAAAATCTACGAACCAAAATACGAGTAATGATTAATTGATTGTCGTAGAGACGTCGTCTTTGTAAACATATTTTACATGTTTTAATACGAAAAACGTAAATTTCTTGCTAACTCAAATATCAAAAGTTTTCAGATTTTAGTACATAATAACGAACACATAATGACATTAAAATATAATAAATTTAAATGTTATTTGGCTGCTGTTACTGAAAAAAAAACATCAAATAGTGTCTATAGAGAGGGACCGTCCCTTTCCGCTCAAATTCTAAACGAAAAATCGGCTTTTTCTCCGGCCACAGTTGTCTTTGAAAAGTAAGACTATTACCAATCAAGAGCGAATAGGCTGTTTAGTTTACCCTGAAATTACCCAAATAAGTGAACGGTCCCTTTAATTGTAATTGATGTTATTACAAAGCAAAAAGTTTTTCTTTATTATATCACAAATAAAGTAAAATGGGTCTGTTTACACTGGAAAATTGCTATATCCCATGCACATTGTACTATTTAAAGTCATAAATTAAGTCTAAAAGTCGTCTTTCTGGTTATCACTGTAATAGAATTATTAATCGATTATTACTTTTTTATTTCAATCCAATGTTACTGTGATGAGAAAAATGGTTTTCTTGCAAATGTTAAGTGAACCCAGTACGAAAAGTCTGAGATCGAAACAAAAATGATACCAAAAAAATATGTGATTTGATTTTGGTTCACTTTCTACCGCCCCTTCGAATTCATTGAATTTCTCCATAAAGTTGTCCTCTCTTGGAAGATAATTTATTTGAATGTGTGGTGTAGGGTACACAGAACATGCTTAATGTTATTTCAGTGCTGGATCTCAAAGAAAAACTACTCTAATGAAAAACTAAACGAAAATAGTTTAAATTTTTTTTACCATCATTTGAAAATTTAAGTTTTTTTTAAAGTTGCTTTTGGCCGAAAAATTGTTTTTAACATTTTCGTTTTCATGAATTCAGATTTGAACCACAGTGTTTTTAAATTTCAAAGTTTAAAAAGTAAGAACGCGCTTAAAAACTAAACAAAAAATGTTCGTCCGTTTTTAGGTGCAATAATTTCCAAAACAAAATGAGAATAAAAGTTTGGTAAATAATGTTTTAAAAATTGAATTTCCCTAAATTAACGAGCTTAAAAAGTGCCTCGAACTTTTCTGATTTTTACTTTTGCCTGGACTGTAGTTTATATTGGTATATTGGAATCCTAGCTCTAAGTTAGGCTGAGGAAGATGAATCTGGAATGCAGCAACACAAATTCAATTTATTTTTCGCAATAATCCAAAGTTATGTTCGCAATAATGGGGTTGGCAACAAGGATTGAAAAATATCCAAATATCCTGTTTATCCTTGGTAGAAATATAAAAACCGGAGATAAAGTTGCAAAATATAAAATTTTCCAAGTTTTGGTAAAAATTCTGATTGAAGAGTTCCTGAGATCATCGTTAGCCTCATCCAGTGCTCCCTCCATCTTTATACTTAGAGAGGTTCTCACCAGAGCAAACAGTGTTGGTTTGAACTCTACTGTACCATCATCGTTTAGGGGCATATTCATTGCAACCAGGCGCTTACAGGCTACACGAGGGGGGCACAACTTACCAAATCCTAAAGATATTTAGATACCGTGAAAACCAAATAGTGATGGGCAAAAGCTTGCTTTTTTTCGAAAACTTTCAAGATCTTTGGCTTTTTATTTAGTTTCGTTAAAAGTCACAGAAATGTTGTAAATTTATTATTCTACAAAGGAATTAGGTCTTTGTAATAAACTCTGATTTTCTAATACCTATATTTTTTCCACCTGATGGTGTACACCCTTGATATTTTAAACATAGATTTTTTCATCTAACAGAAATCATAGTTTGAAATATCAAAGGTCTGCGACATTGGAATCCAAAGATTAGAAAATAAAACTTTGTTGCAAAGACTCAATTCCTTTATTGTTCAAATTTCAATCTGGAAAAAATGATTTCAGGATAAACCTTTTTCATAGTTCAATAAAAACAAACTTTAAAAAATACAGTTTTGAATTGTTGGAACCTTTACAATTTTTTATGGTGCCTTTTCAAAGTCCAAATGCCTAAAAGTTGTATTTCCTATTAACGATATAAAGCAGAATTAACGTAGTATTTTCTCTTTAACATTTCTAATATTTTACAGTCTACACATAGAGTTTAACCCTGAGATTTTACAGTTTACATTTAGAGTTTACCTCTGAGATTTTACAGTTTAAACATAGAGTTTACCCCTGAGATTTTACAGTTTACACATAGAGTTTAACCCTGAGAATTTACAGTTTACACATAGAGTTTAACCCTGAGATTTTACAGTTTACACATAGAGTTTACCCCTGAGATTTTACAGTTTACATATAGAGTTTACCCCTTAGAATTTACAGTTTACACATAGAGTTTACTCTTGAGATTCTACAGTTTACATATAGAGTTACCCCTGAGATTTTACAGTTTAAACATAGAGTTTACCCCTCAAATTTTACAGTTCACACTAAGAGTCAACCGCTCAAATTTTACAGTTTACAAATAAAGTTTACTCCTGAGATTTTACAGTTTACACATAGAGTTTACCTCTGAGATCTTAAAGTTTACACATAGAGTTCACCCCCCAGATTTTACAGTTTAAACATAGAGTTTAACCCCTTAGATTTTACAGTTAACACATAAAGTTTACCCCTCAGATTTTACAGTTCACACTAGGAGTTAACCCCTCAAATTTTACAGTTTACAAATAGAGTCTACTCCTGATATTTTGTGTGGTTATAAAGCTAAATATCTGCAGCATTCCTTTATCAGAAAGTTAAGAATACGACATTTTATAAATTTGCCCGATGTCTCTTTATATTTAAACTTAGGTGTACTTTAAAAATCGAGAGTAAAACTCAAACCCAAGCAATTTACAGAATGTTATCAATTTACAGAATGTTATCAATTTACAAAATGTTATCAATTTACAAAATGTTATCAATTTACAAAATGTTATCAATTTACAAAATGTTATCTGCCTTTCCTTTACAAAATTTGATTTCATAATCCCAACTTAGTTTAGACTATTTCTACTTTCCTTCTTATTCTAAAAAAAAACATTTTCTTTTGATAAAATTTGAATAAATTACCTAATGGAGGATTTATCTTACGAAGAAGAGTAACAACATCCATGTGTTTTATTTTTCCCTTTCCATCAGGATCATATTCAGACCAGAGGTTCACAAACTCATCCAGGTGATGTGCTCCTAAGGAGTTGAGTCTTTGCCACAACCTTCAATTTTCTAATCTCTAAATCTGTGAAACTTGATGGCTTAAACCTTTGATATGATATTGAGATTGAAATATTTAAGGTCTACGACATTTGGTTGCAGAGATATTGGGATTAGAAAATCGGAGTTTGTGGCAACTACTCAATTCCTTTGAATTAACTTTTTGTGTCTATCTTTTGTGTTTTGTGAAAATAGCTGAAACATTTCATTATAAAGGAATTGAATGTTTTTCACAGACTATGATTTACTAATCTAATTATATCTTTGCAACCCAATTTCGTAGATATTTTAAATTATGGATTCTGTTGGATCAAATAAACTGAGTTATCAAATGTTTAAACCATGATAGGTTGCAAAGATATATAGATTAGACAGGTTGAGTTTGTGTCGAAGACTCAATTCCTTTGTACAAATTCTCGAAAGTTAATCTGTGCGTTTGGAAAGCCTACCTAGGATAGACCAGTCCCGGGTTAAGTAGTCAAAGTTATCCATGATGACCGCCACGAAGAGATTGAGGATGAGGAAAGAGGTCATCACGAAGAAGGTGACGAAGTACGGATACGCGAGGTTGGATCCACATCCCTCCGGATTCCCAGCCTCGTCACTCAACGGATCACAGGTAACATCAGGTGTCTTAACACAGGACATCATAATATCCTGCCACACTTCTCCAGTAGCACATCGGAACAGAACCAGGATACTTTGCTCAAAAGTTTGAAAATTATTGTTTGAATGAATTGCTGTATGATCTTTAAGAGCAATTTTTCCAAAAACTTGCATCCCAACAACTCCGTAGATAAAGAATACGAGGGCTATAAGAAGAGCAACGTATGGAAGAGCCTGGAAGGATTTGATAAAGGTGTAGAGAAGCTGTCGGATAGACTCTCCTTTAGCTAGTAGTTTAACTAGACGGAGAGCACGGAATAATCTAAGCATAGAGATACTAGCACCTCCTCCTTCAAGAAGATTTGCCATTGCAATATCCAGGAAGGATCCTATGACGATTACAAAATCAAATGTGTTCCAAGGATCTGCAAAGTACTCTTTGAACCCGAATCCAGCTAGCTTGACAGTGAACTCGAAGGTGAAGAAGGTTGTGAATACAAGGTTCATGACGTCCAGGAACTCAGTGTATAGCTCAGGCTGATCGTAGAACCCCATAGCTAGCAGCAGGGTGTTAATACAGATAGCAGCAAATACAAGATATTCAAAAAAAGGGCTGGTCACAAAAGACCAGATTTTATATTGAACCGGATGTTTGGGTATAAAAAGTCTGGCTGGTTCAATATTAAGAACATAATCAACACAGTTTCTTTGGTTCTTATCTAGGCCACAGTCAGCATAAGGGGCTTCACCTTCTCGTTGGAAAGTGACGATAACAAAACCAACAAAAATATTGATCATGAAGAATGCGAGGATAATAATGTAAACCATGTAAAAGATGAATATAATCGGACGATTATTAAACACCGGTCCAACGTCCTCATCATATGTATCAATAGATGTATAAAGTATCTGGGGCCAACCTTCAAAAGTCTGAACTATGAAGAGAGTTAGCATCCCACTCCCAACATTATCATAATGAAAAGGATATCTCACCCATTCTCTCTCCACAACCACAGGTTTACGTACATCACTGTAAGCATACGTGATAAACTGTCCTTTGCAGTCCTCCTCCGTAGTTTTAGATAAATCTGTGCAGGCGTTAAACTTTCCTTTAAACAGTTGAACTCCTATAACGGAGAACATAAACTGGAGGAGAAGAGTAACCATCACTATATTCTGTATAGAGGAGACGGAAACTATAACTGCTTGAATAACTGTTTTCAATCCTTTAGCTCGGTTGATTGCTCTCAGAGGACGGAGAACCCTGAGTACACGAAGGATTTTCAGGACAGATACAGCTCCAGCACTTGAACTAAATATAATAGATACAAGGGATACCCCCACTACCAGGATATCTAGTAGGTTTGCAGCTGATCTACAATATCCCCCTTTCTGAACTGCCCCGTAGGATATCACTTTTAACGTTATCTCCAGAGTGAAGATTGTTGTAAAAAAATAATCAAAATATCCAAGAACTCGGTTCCGTTTAGAGTTAGCATTCATTGGATCCTCTGCTGCCAGAGATGCGGAGGATATCATGATACAGACAAGGATAAAATTACTGACAATGCTATGATTGATAAAGTTATAACATCCAAGACGGAACGGATTGGTTGGGCTGAGAAAGAAGAAAACGTATCCTGGAGGGATGGGTTGTTTACTCTCTGCAGATGAATCAGGGCGCAGTTCTTGCACCGACGCTTTTCCTTCCACAAACCCTTCGTCATCACTGATCTTGGTATCAGGTTCAGGTTCAGGATCACCTTCATTTTCTTCCAGATTGTCCAGCTCTACAGATCCGTCTTCATCCCTTCTTTCCTCATCATTATCACCATTCCCCAGTGTATCCTCGAATCCTTCTTCTATTGTTTCATCTTGTGGACTTGCAACTACTTCATCCTTTTCTACTTCTTCCTCCTCCCCGCCAGCTAAACTATCAACAGCAATAGCCAAGAAAACATTAAGAAGAATATAGTTACCAAAGATGAAGAGAATGATAAAGTACAGGCTAGCCACTAAACCTAGTTTCTTGGGACCTCCGTAGGCCATAACTCCGTCATACAAAATCGTATTCCAATCTTCTCCAGTAAGAACTTGGAAACAGGAAAACAAACTGTTGGAAAATGAATCAAAATTCATTCGAGTCTTTTCCAACTCCAGTTCTCCGGGAAATTTCCGTTCTTTAAACTTTCCTCCAAAGAGTTGTGATCCAAGAAGAGCAAAAATACCCAGAAATAGGAAGAGAAGAACTAGAAGAGAAGCGATGGCTTCGATCGAGCTGATCAAGGATCGGAGAAGGTTTTGAAGAGATTTCCAGTATCTTGTTACTTTAAATGCTCGAAGGAGTCGGATACAACGGAGCACAGACATGCCTAGGGGGGGCATAACATTAAACATTGTCAGACCCATCTCTAGGATAGAACTGAGAACAACAAAGAAATCAAATCTATTGAAGAGAGGGATAAAGTAGAATTGTATACCCAGAGCGTACATCTTGAACAGCATCTCGAATGTGAAAAGAATGACGAAAAAAATGTTTGTGATTTCCTAAAAAAAATATTTATTCAAATTGAAGGGGAAATGTACCCAAAAGGGTTAATTACAATTCGAATGCAGTCTTTCGATCTTTCTAACCATTCAAATTAAACAGATTGTAGCAAAAAAAAGTGATTTGCTAGCGTCATTTTTTATATAAATAAAGACAGAGCTACTTTTTAGAAACAAATGAATAATAAATTGAAATACTTTTCATAATTTTTCTTGAAAAACTTTATATACAACATAAAAAAGTTTTGCAATGGAAATAACGAAAATTAAAACCTTTCTCCGGATTGGTAAAGCTTTAAAATGTAGACCTGAAACAGACCTCTCATTGGTCAACATCCCAAAAGAAGAAATAAGAAATGATTTAGTTTAAATCCCTGTGGCGGCGAGCAACGATTTAATGCTAAATAGGATTAGCTCTACCGGTGTATTCAAAAGTTAAGGTTTTCAAAGGTTTTTGAATAAATTCCTGAAAGTTGCTTAACCAATCTGGTTGATTATGGTGTTCTGTTGCTTGAACACATGTGTTTAAAAATACAAGACTAACAACTATCCAGAACATTGCCTGAAATAAAAAACTAAAATAAAAACACTAAAAATTATTCCGATATTCTTTTTATTCTTTTTCTTCTTCTTTATGAACAGTATTTGGAATTCCCTAAATCCAAGATTCTAATCTAAAAAATTACAATTTCACGAAAAGTTTAACACTCAAATTTTAAAATATTTAAAAATGGCCAAAAATTACCGCCTTCTTTGTATTTTTTTATTTTGGATCTATCTTAGTTTTTAGGAAAAAAATAACAAATTTTACAGAGCCGCTCTAGAGTTTGGAAAAGAGTTAATTACTTAATCAACTGCAGGTTGCTAAGAAAGGAATCAAAGGTCTACATCAACTGCAGGTTCCTAAGAAAGGAATCAAAGGTCTACATCAACTGCAGGTTCCTAAGAAAGGAATCAAAGGTCTACATCAACTGCAGGTTCCTAAGAAAGGAACTGAAGTTTTGCAAACAACCATGATTTTCTTTGCAACTCAACGTCGTAGACCTTTGATATTTAAAACTATGAATATTGAATACTGTTAGATGAAATAGTTTAAGTTAGAAATATCACATATTTACACGATCAGGTTACTAAGATAAAGGGATTAGAAATTTTGAGTTTGTGGCAAAGACTTAAGTAAGAGTTTGATGAAAGAAATCAATTGCTTTGTGTTGCGGTTTTAATACTATTCTATATCTTAAGTTTGACTTATTGACAACCCTTTAAATCATATGTCGTAATAAATCCATTTATCCATTTAATTATTCACTTTTATTCACATAAATTGATAAAAGTCCAAAAGTTCATATTTAAAAAAAACGAAAAGTATAAAGTCAAATACTTATTTTGCATTTAGGTTTATAAAATATACAGAAAAAATCTGAATAAATAAGATTAGTCAGACTCGGATTTGAGATCCTGATGTCTTCATGCAATAAAATAAAATTATTTTCAGAAGTTAGATATAGATAGATAGATAGATAGATAGATAGATAGATAGGTATATTTCGGCATATAACACGAGACATATATGCATTTATTATCATTCGTGTTTTAACCATTTAAAAAAATATATTTCAAGAAATACTTGAAGTTTTTTTTGCAGAATTTCTGCAAAATGTATTTTCAAAACTTCTGAAAGTTATAAGTTAAAAAAATTTTGTCATGTATATTTTCGGAAATTCAGCCAGATATATTTTCATAAATTATTCTAAATATTTTGACAAATTCTGTCTGATTTAAAATCTTGACGTTTTTCCAGATTCAGATTTCAATCGTTAAATTAATTTTTACCCCTTTTTTATTTTAATATAGTGTATTAAGGAATATATTCTCACAGAAAAACGACAATATCTTCCACTTCATTAATCAGATCAAGTTTTTAAAAATATCATTGTGAATTTGTCATTACCATCTTTGCATTTAGGGGTACTTCAAAATACCTTTCCTGTCTCCTAAACAAATATTTCTATTTCTATTTTCTACCTGAGATTTAACAGCTTTCCTGCATTTAGGTTTAACTCTACGGTTTAGATTATCCATTCTCTCCCTAAACCTTCCAAACCATCCAACCTCTTTAACATCCTCTTCTACTTCCGCTTTATTCACTTCCGTTCTCCTTTATAATTGAATATGGTTATATTTACTTCCGTTCTCCTTTATATAAAGGAATATAGTTATATTTACTTCCGTTCTCCTTTATATACAGGAATATAGTTGTATTTACTTCTGCGTTCTCCTCCACCATTTACCCGTTTACAGATATGTAAAGTTGTTATCTCTGTTTGTCTTTCTGTCTGTTTGTGTGTTTGTCCGATCATAACTCAGGAACCTGACCGATTGGCCTCAAATTCGGGAGACCCACGGAAATGTTCTTAGTTTGGTTTTGTGATTGTGATTTATACAGTACACTCAATTTCTCGAGAGAGGAACTTCAGAACTCTTATGGGTCTCAATCAACTCCAAAAACGCTTAGGTTTCAGCCTTTCATTTTTCCTTTACAGTCCCTTTAAGTATAAGATTAATAAAAGCCAGATATTTGGATTTACTGGATCCCAAGTTTCGATGTTTTGATATGAATAATGAATAATTCTAGGTTCTCACACGAATAATATCCAGTGATGTAACAGAACATTAATAGATAATATGGGAATTTAATATAACATAAACACACTGTGTTCAGTACAAGTATATAAATAATCAAGTACACGTTAGGTGCATCAGTACACTTAGATACCAAATTCATTAAAAGCAAGGAGTGAGATCTGTTAACAGGATGAACAGTCACATATTCTGTTGCAAGGAGAATTGAATAGAAGGAGGGGGCGATAGGGTTTCCGTACACTTTGCTGTGACGTTCTTGGACTGCTGAAGAACTAGTTTTTGCGTAACAACAATAACAAAGGCAGCCGATCTAATATAAACAAACATGAGTTAGTATACGGTGAATCTTCATCTAACGCCAGAGATGCGCCAGATTTCTGTTTATCATTTGTGTTATTGTTTACAATCTTTATTATTGTTGTTACGCAACAACTAGTTCTTTAGCAGTCCAAGAACGTCACAGCAAAGTGTACGGAAACCCTATCGCCCCCTCCTTCTATTCGATTCTCCTTGATTAAAAGCAGGTCCGTAGTATACAACAATGCATAATGTTCATGGGCGTAGTGGATGTTTAGCTTGGGTGGTGGACTTTTGGTGCGCGTAAGCGAGCCGGATTTTTTTTTGTGCGCACCCCCCTAACGGCTGATGGGAAACCCCTCTAAAAAACACGTATTCAGAAAAAAATTTAGGTTTCAAATCTATTTTAACTATTAATCTATTTTACTGATGAAGATTTTTCAATCCTGGGGTTAAAGTAATAAAAATAAATGAATTTTTGGTAAAAAAGTTATGGAAACATGCAGTTGTTTTATTTTAAACCGGGTTAAAAATATCATTCCATTCAAAAGTACGGCCCTAGAAATAAAAAAAAATTAAAAGCTTTGATAATACTGCCTCCAAATTCAAGAATTCTGGCTCTAGGGGAAGCCTAAGGGGTGAACGGGAGTCTGCACCCCCCCCCCCCCAGAACGCCACTGATAATGTTACCTCTTTTTGGTCCATAAATACCAGAATACACCATAAATAATTTTTTGAGTACATTTAGTGAATCTTAAAAGAGTATTTTGGATTTTGTAATTGTGAATTCTATACTTTTAAATTCTTCAATTTTGAATTCTGAAATTCTTTATTTTGGAGTTCTGAAAATTGAATTCGGTAATTTAAGATATTGGTAATTTTAAATTCAGAAATTTTGAATTATGAAATTTAGAATTATGAAATTTTGAATGTGAAGTTTTGAATCCTGTAATTTGGAAAACTGAAAGTTTGAATTCTGTCATTTTAATTCGGTAAATTTGGATATTGGTAATTTTAAATTTATCCTTTCGGTCCTTATATCCTCTCATCTCCCCTTTTCCCACATCATCCTCTCTTATCCTCTCTCATCCCCCTCATCCCCCCTAAACCAAACTCATCCGAAGTTGAGCACTAATACATCTCTGTACTCATCCATTGCCAGCAGTTAACTAGGTTTTCAAGTTTTGAAGTGTGGTTAAACTTTAAACAAAGTTCGAGTTTTCTACTTTTCTCTTCAGCTACATGTAATAGTAAACCATAGACGGCTAGAGATAATCTAAAAGAGTTAAAAAGAAAAAGTTTTTAATAAAAAAGATAGAAGCTGAATAATAAATACCATTATAGAAGTTGTAACAAAGTTAAATCTCGAATGAGGTCTTACTTTAATCTTAAAATTAGAAAAACGTTCGTTTAATGCAGAAATACTGGTGTGACTTTTGTGACCTCTTAAATCTTCTATTTTTCAATTACACCCCACTTTTAATTTTTCCAGGCTACATTTTTTTTGCATAAAACGTGCACTGTATAGTTCAGACTGGATATGTACGACTGAATGCATATAAAGTACAGTACACGCGTTGTACCGGCTCAGATCATGCAACCGTTAGCCTGGGGTAACTAATTTCCAAACGTTGCAGTTAGGATATATTAGTTAGATATATTTCATTTAGAAATGTCGTAAAGCAAAAATAAGGCATAAATATATACCACATTGATCCAGACTGCTTATAAAAAGTTGTGATTTCAAGGTCTCAAGCTCTAAAGCAAAAATCTAAGAATTTTGTCAATTACTTCTGTAAAACCAAAGCTAACCACCAGTGCTTTATTGTGCTAAAATTTACATGAAAAGGGCTACAGAAGAGCATAATTGAGTTAGAGCAGTAAAATCAAAGATCAAGGCGTTGCGACACTTCAAAGTCGACCCTGTCTTAAACATTTATGTGACTTTATTCAAACAGGCTGAATCTATGTGGTAGTAATTCAACTCATTAGACGTTGATTTTATCTCACTAATTCACTTATATATTTTGTGTATCCCTAAACACACTAAGCCTGAGTAGGCTTTAGGTTTGAAAATAGTGTATGGAACTTCTTTTTTAATTTTAATGGAAAACATCTGATGATTTTATAGGAATAGTATTTAGGAAAATCCAAAAATCAGAAAAAAATCCAAGGCAAATATTGCATATTTTCGAGAATTTTCTCATTTTCTTAAAATATTCATGTAAAATTTAACATTTTACTGTTTGCTATTTGCCACATGGGGGCCTGCCATACCAAAATATCATAGATTTTTAACATTTTTTCAACATAAAGTTTGTTTAGCAAAATATGAAATTTTATATGAATATTTTAAGAAAATAAGAAAATCCGCGAAAATATGCGATATGTGCCTTAAGACATACTTTTTGGATTTTCCCTAAATACTATTCCTAAATCATCAGATATTTTCCTTTAGGATCCAAAAAACAATTTTTTAAACCTAAATCCGACTCAGAGTAATTTTGAGGAGTAGAATAGAAACAAAAACAATGAAAATAGAAACATAAATCAGTTTTTTTAGCTTTATGGTTTTTATGAAGTAATGGACAAAATTGATTTTCCGTGAGAGCTTAAAACTTTTGAATGACTGTGATACCTGTAGTTTGTTGGATCTATTTCCTCAGCATGAGCTAACCAATCCAAATATCCCTGACAAACAACAACTTTATAATTTATAATCAAAATAGTTAATTTTATATAATTTAAATTAATTTTATTCTGTACTAGCTGAAGGGCCCGGCGTTGTCCGTGGAAAAAAAACATTTTGAAGAAAAAAATAAAAAAATAAATAAATGTTCGAATTTATTTTTGCCTATAACACCCCCCGGCCACCCATAAGTCTCCACAAAAAAATCAGCCCAATCGGTCCAGCCGTTTGGTCGGCTTTACGCAATATATATACGAATGTCTTGTTTTATTATACTGATAATAAAGCTAACTCATATAATATATATGTATATATATGTTTGCTATAGCTGACTGAACTGATATAACATATAATATATATGTATATATGTATATATGTATATATGTATATATATGTTTGCTATAGCTGACTGAACTGATATAACATATAATATATATGTATATATGTATATATGTATATATGTATATATATGTTTGCTATAGCTGACTGAACTGATGGACCAAATAAGCTGAAACTGTTGGTAGGTAACCTTCAGGTATCCCAGAGACTACATAAATTCTTTTTTTAAAATTACATGGGCAATGTGAGAACTAATTATAAAATCTAGATTAATACCATGAGCGTGGTGGGTAAACAGCGCCATTAACTATAAACAGTGATATATACCTGGACAGTGCCGGGACTCCAGAAAGAAGCAATAAATACTCATATTACCTTCATGTCGTCTTCCATCTGTGCTCTGAGTTTATTTTTGTGGTATACGCCCCTGAAATAAGGAAACGTGGTATTATTATTCAAAATCAGTTAATTTTAAAGGGTCTGTAAACGTAATTTCAAGTGAACCTCAATGATGACACGGAAATGTCTGATTCACTAAGGTACCCTTTAAAAGCTTTGTGTTAACAAGAATGAGTAAGATATTTTTATTTTATTTTGAAAGCTAATTATTTTAAAATGTGGTGAAATTCAGATAAAGGTTTCAAGGGTACTGTTGGGAATCTGGCATGCCCCTTCGCATGTATAGGGTAAAATACAACTACTGCAGTCCCTGGGGGATTGAGAAAAGTAAAATATCAAATATCAAAATAGTCCAACAAACAGTTTTTGAATAAGAAGGATTCTAAGGTAAAAAATAGTTTAAATCCAAACAGTGTTTAGATGTTCGTTGTTTTTCAACCAAACTAATCAGTAAACGAACGGTTTGATTTCGCGAACGTGAACCTGTTATATCAGAAATTACCCCACGGTAATTCAAACAATGATCACAGTTAAATTAAACCGGTTAATTAATTAAGATATAAGCACTTTGATTCAAGATTTTCCCCAATTTACAAACAAATATATAAAATGATTTAGTTTTACTGTTGGAATAAAACTAAATATCAGATTAAAATACATTTTGCATTTTTAATGCATTTGCTAAAAACAATCTACAATCAACATTTGTTGGTCTCTCCTGCAGTCAACATGCAGAAACTAAACACTTTTCGAGTTGGACAAACTATCTTCCACATTTTGATCAGATTCAGGTTTCAATGGTACCGTTGGAAATTGGGCATTGTCATCTTTGCTCGATGGTAGCAATGTGCAATAGTTAGATTCGTTTTACAGAACTTTTAATATTTTTAGACTTTTAGAATTTAAAATTGTATTCTGTAGAAGTTTGCGTTCATCAAAAATGAAAATTTGTTATCCTAGGTAAAAATAAAAGGCAAAAACGAACCAAAAGCTATCGTTTTAAAAACCCAAACACAATTGTTTCTTCGAGGGTAACAAATTTGCATGTTTGATAAAAGCAAACTTCTACAGAATAAAGTTTTAAAATGTTGGAACCTTCTCATAGCGTCGTAAAACCTTTTAAAAGTCTAAAGTCATTAAAAAATTTTGTAAAACGAATCTTGCTATTGCCCATCCTTACTTGGAGGGTTCCTTTAAAGGGAGTGACAGGGAATGTATGGTGGTTGCACTGAATATGTAGCATTGTGGACACATTTTTAGAATTCATTTGAGACACATAAAACGTTTCTACAACGCATATTTACTGAGTTTGAGCGCAAAGTCGACGCTCAAAATCATAAATTTGGTGGGTGCCTTTTCAGAATCGTTTTTTTTAATTATTAAATAACGACAACAAAAAATGTAAACAGAATTTTACAGTAAACTAATAAGTTGTTTAGGAACAGATTGAGAAAAAAAAATTAACTCTCATCATAAAAAATAAGTAATCCTATTCAATTATTAGTTTCTATAATCTCTGATTATTCACAAAGATTTTTTGCAGATATTTTAGAATTTTAATTGAGAAGACGACAGAAAAAGAATTTGTTGAAATCTGCGAACAAATTCATAGAGAATAAGAAATTCAATATTATGATGAAAACGAAATAATTGATTCTAACATTGATTTATTAACAAGTTTCTTTTGAGAAATATGTTCATAAATATCGAACACGTTTACTGTATAATTTTTACTTTATTTTTCGTCCTCGTTATTTGATAATTTTTAAAAACCGATTCTGAAAACGTACCCGCCAAATTTCATGATTTTTAACGTCGACTTTGCACTCAAACTCAGTAGTTATACATCGTGGAAACGTTATATATGTCTCAAATGAATCCAAAAAAGATTTTCTATATTAATGCATACTCATTTTGACCACAATACATTGCCGGTCACTCCCTTTAAATTACGCTTACAGTCCCTTTAAAGACCAGCGATGGGACCTGTTATTAATCTTGAACGCTTGATCTCGAATGCTTAAACCCGAGATTCACAACAAAAAGGTTCTAACCGAAGATTTAATTTAGCCTAGCAATGGTTTTAATCTTGTCAATGAGACCAAAAATGTGGATTATTAATAAGATGGGTTCACTGTAGAAAAAAACTTAAAGGTCTCTCTTTTGGACTTCATAAAGGCATTTGATTAGTCTGAAATGTATATTAAAATCCACATGAGAGGCCACTACAAAATTCTAATTCTATTAATTATTCTAAACAGATATTCATCAAAGAATAAACTCTTGAGCAAAAGGAAAAGTTTCAATTATTCATATCATGAATATGGTATAGATTTTCATTGCAGCAGTTCTAAAAGTAGATATTATTAAGAGTTGATATTATATTCTAAAGTATGTGTGATTATTATTCGACAAAAATATAAAGGCGTGTTTTTTAATCGATTTCGTTCTACAGAACACATTCCCTATAAAGTAATTTGTCTTTCAATTTTGCTTTTGTAAACATTTGATATTGTCGTATTTTCCAACAAATAGAACTGATACAATAAATTTATTAACTAAATAATCTATAAACTTGATAAGGTCATACATTAGGTCTTCTCCTATTGCGGATCAGTTCCCTATATGGTCCATTATATTTGTACCCTGGTAATACCCTGTAATGAAACGATTAGGCATTGTACATTTATTTATACACATTATATAAATGAAACATATTGATATATTATTACTGTTATGTGACAGATTAGCATTGATCATGATCCTTATTTATTAAGATCATGATCACGATCACTGGGGACCTTATCAAATGAATAATAATGATCCTATTTAGGATCATGAGCAGGATCCCTTGAGATCTCTGCAATCCTATCAAGCTTGGATCCCATCATCACAAGGAGGGATAAACCCTCTAATAATACCTCATACTCAGGGATCATGTTCAATCTCCGTTGCTCCTCCAGATATCTCTTCATCCTCAGAACCTGCACGAACAAACGGTCCAATATCTTCTCCCTGGTTGAATGGAGGAACTCATGTAACTGGGCTCCATGACGTCCAGGAGGATCCCAGATACTAGGGAGATAAGGTGTAGTAAGTGCCTGTTCACCAAAGAGCTGAGGACAATCTTGATCCTCATGATCCACGTGATCTCTCAAGATAGAACTCCTTCCTTCTGTCCCAGGAATGTTGGTCTGGTCGTCATCTGATGAGAGGTCAGTCTCCAGGCTGGGGACACTTCCATCCTCCGACTCCCTCTCATCCACAGCTGCATCTTTAGCTGCATCTTCAGCTGCATGTTTAGCTGCATCCTCAGTTGTATCTTCATCATATCCATTATCAGGTGTCACTCGGTATGCGGGGTTCATCATCATCTAATCTTCGCTGCTCATCTTCATAGGAACTCAATGTAAATATATAAATATCCTGTACGCTGTATGTAGCACAGGGCCCGGAACGATAGTGGCAGATGGACGATTTATATGCGTGTCTACTCTTCTAAGGTTCGGGCTGAACTGAATCAATCTGGTCTCTCCGATCTCTCATTGTATCTTAGGGACTGTTCACCCTTTTCAGGTTCAGTCCGGAATACAACAATATTTTTAATATTGCAATTTAGTTTGGATTTCCTAATCCCGTTAATCTTATATTTAGTTTGGATTTCCTGATCCCGTTAATAATAAATTTAGTTTGGATTTCCTGATCCCGTTAATAATATATTTAGTTTGGATTTCCTGATCCCGTTAATTTAGTTTGGATTTTCTGATCCTGTTAATAATATATTTGGTTTGGATTTCCTGATCCCGTTAATAATATATTTAGTTTGGATTTCCTGATCCCGTTAATAATATATTTAGTTTGGATTTTCTGATCCTGTTAATAATATATTTGGTTTGGATTTCCTGATCCCGTTAATCTTATATTTAGTTTGGATTTCATGATCCCGTTAATAATATATTTAGTTTGGATTTCCTGATCCTGTTAATAATATTTTTGGTTTGGATTTCCTGATCCCGTTAATTTTATATTTAGTTTGGATTTCATGATCCCGTTAATATTATATTTGGTTTGGATTTCTTATCTCGTTAATATTTTATTTGGTTTTGATTTCATGATCCCGTTAATTTTATATTTAGTTGGATTTCCTGATCCCGTTAATTTTATATTTAGTTTGGATTTCCTGATCCCGTCAATATTCCCGTCAATATTATATTTGGTATGGATTTCCTGATCCACTTTATTTTTAGATTTTTCATTCCACTCTTATTAAACATATTTATACAAAATGTTCTTTGGGACTTTTTATTTTGAAAGTTCTATTAAGGATATCAATATTAAAACGATATTTCAAACAAAAAGTTATGGAATTTTATATTTTCAATGTTTTGCAAAAAGGAGACCATTTTTCTTTTTTGTAATTTAAGATATTTGACTTTTTCATTTTAATATATTTGTTTGAATATCGGGAAAAGACAAGATATTGGGAGAAAAAATGATCTAAAAAGATTAATGGAGAAATGTAATCTATTGAATAAATGACACAGTTACGAGAGAAAAAAGGAAGGATTGGTAGAAAATAGAATAGAAAATAATACAGGATAGAAGGAGGAAATAGAGGATAGAAGGAGAGAACAGAGGATAGAAGGAGAGAATAGAGTATAGAAGGAGAGAATAGAGGATAGAAGGAGAAAATAGAGGAAAGAAGGCGAGAATAGAGGATAAAAGGAGATAATAGAGGATTAAAGGAGAGAATAGAAGGAGAGAAAAGAGGATAAAAGGAGAAAATAGAGAAAAGAAGGAGAGAAAAGAGGATAGAAGGAGAGAATAATGAATAGAAGGAGAGAAAAGAGGATAGAAGGAGATAATAGAGGATAGAAGGAGAGAATAGAGGATAGAAGGAGAGAATAAAGGATAGAAGGATAGACTAGAGGATAAAAGGAGATAATAGAGTAAAAAAGGAGAGAATAGAGGATAGAAGGAGAGAATAGAAAATAGAAGGAGAGAATAGAGGAAGATAATTGAAGGGGAAGAGATAAAATGGATAAATGGAGCTTAAGTAAAAATAAAATGGATGAATGGACGATAAGAAAAGATAAAATGGATGAATGGAGGATAAGAAAAGATAAAAGGAATAAATAGAGGATAAATGAAGATAAAATGGATGAATGAAGGATAAGAAAAAATAAAATGGAAGAATTAAGGACAATCAAGATAAAATGGACGAATAGAGGATAAGAATAGATGAAATGGATGAATGGAGTATAAAAAAGATAAATGGATGAATGGAGGATAAGAAAAAAGAAAGATAAAGGCTAAAGGAAGACAATATCCATGTATTAGATCAGACCTAATACAGAAAGTATAGTTTAATTCTCTTCAATTTGATTTCTCTGACCACAGAGTGTCCAGATCAAAGCTAACCTGAAAGGTTTTATTATTACGGTGAGGAGAAAAAACATCGCAAAAACCTATATTTGATCAATTTGTTAAAAGGATCCATTCGCGGGAAGAGAAAATAAATAAAAAACTATTTAAAAAAAAAATTCTTCTGAATTATTCAATTTTAAACTTTAAACATGTTTACGTTCAATCTCGGCTTGGTTTAACACGTGATACTGTTATGGGTGGCAGTTCTCTTGAAACATACATCGGAAAGAATAAATAATGGGACCAAATTATAATTACTAATCTGCAAATACATTATTACCATTTAATACTTCAAGTTGTGACGTTTGTTAGATTACACAGCCCACTTTTGAAATATTAAAGGTTTACACCATCAGGTTAAAAAATAGGGATTAGGAAATTTGACCGATCAGTTACTTTCACGTTAGATTGAAATCGTGAATGTTTTTAATGAATGTTTCTAATCGTAACTCCTCATATTTAAGAGCTATCGAGAAGAATAAAATTGTTTTAAAGTTCTCATGTAACCATTTACATTTGCAAAAAAATTATTACTTTAGAAGCCAGGATATCGCAAAGTCGTCCCAGTTAATGGCACATAAAGAGTTCACAGTGCTCTGCCTTTAAAGTCAATGAATTTTTGTAGAATTCTTCTTATATAAGCAAACCCCAAATATTACATCGAGAAATGTGAAAATACTCGAGACTAATTTAAATAAATTTTATCACACGGCTAGAGATATAACAATAAAACAAGGGAGAAACTAGTTGACGTAAATTACAGGCTGTCCTAAAAAAACATGGGAATTGAGAGACGAAGACGAAGTCATCTTTGTTAAGTATGCAGCGTTGTATAACCTAGTGTCAATGAAAATAGATAAAGTTACGTCTGCTAGAGTGTATTTTATGTAAACGGTTTTTATTTTTCAAAACGTTGTATGATGTTCTGTAATATGTCTGCAAGATAAACAGTATAGAGAGGAACTAGTGTAGTTAGTAGTATGTTTGGTACAGCTTTCCTACAAGATAAATAGTATAGAGAGGAACTTGTGTACTATGTTTGGTACAGCTTTCCTACAATTAAAACAGTATAGAGAGGAACTAGTGTAGTATGTTTGGTACAGCTTTCCAACAAGATAAACAGTATAGAGAGGAACTAGTGTAGTATGTTTGGTACAGCTTTCCTACAAGATAAACAGTATAAAGAGGAACTAGTGTAGTATGTTTGGTACAGCTTTCCTACAAGGAATCACCGTACACTAAAAAACCATTTACAATGACGATATCAAAATAATCACTCAATCCCCATGTTTATTGGGACACCCTGTAGATAAATAGATAGATAGATCTTCTTAGTACACCAACTGTGGAACTAAAGAGATATATGTATTGTAGAGTAAGCATCGTGTTATCCAGACTTTAAACATCATTTTCGGGTTTTCACTTTAAACTCCAGTTCATTTTAAGTACCGGGTCGACTGTTAAGTAGTTAAAGCAAGCTGTACAGTACACATACAGAGCTGAACATTTTTGTGTTGGATACTCTTAATTTCGATTGCTTGATCTCGATATCTTCTGTGGGCTCTTTTAGTTCAAAGATCAATGTATATTCTCTTTCAGTAAATCCTCCCATGATCGAAGCTACGTTCAGATGGAGAGATAAATAGATAGATAGAATAGATAGATAGATAGATAAATAGATAAGATAGGTAGATAGATACCTGCTGGTTGCTTTAGCTCTCTCCTTGGAGAATTCTCCTGATAGAACACCAAGGATAAGATTCATAACGAAGAATGCTCCAAGAACAACTAAAGACAGGAAATAACTCCATTGCCAGGATTTACCCATAGCATCCTAGTAACAATACATATATTATATGTGAGAAGATATTTACTAACATTTCGTTCGAAAATACAACCATTTTATTCAAAATTATGAATAGAATGTTAAGGAATACGCATAGCTCACTATTTAGTATATTCTTTATGCTAAAATTACACCATATTGAATTTTGGTAGGTTTGGTTGTGAAAAATAGCTCTAACTAAATTTGGTTATGTTAGCTTTATTTAGGTTAGGTTTTGACTTATGAAGATACAGGGATACCCTCAAAGGATGAGAATTTAGAGACGAGTGCACGTACTGCCTGTTTCTTGTCTGTAAACTTATTTGTTTCTATGCAAAATCATTAAATAAGCCATTAAATTACAGAATCAATTGAAATTAATTTAACATTGAGATCGCCAGTCATCTTTCATTCTCATCTTTGTAGGTAAACCTGGTTAATTTGGATTGTTGCATTGTTGGGTTAGGGATCACTTTGTTACTATTGGTTTGGTTTGGTCTACCTGTATCCAGTAGAAGGTTTGGTTTGGTCTACCTGTATCCATTAGAAGGTTTGGTTTGGTCTACCTGTATCCAGTAGAAGGTTTGGTTTGGTCTACCTGTATTGTATCCAGTGGAAGGTTTGGTTTGGTCTACCTGTATCCAGTAGAAGGTTTGGTTTGGTCTACCTGTATCCATTAGAAGGTTGGTTTGGTCTACCTGTATCCAGTAGAAGGTTTGGTTTGGTCTACCTGTACACATTAAAAGGTTTGGTTTGGTCTACCTGTATCCAGTAGAAGGTTTGGTTTGGTCTACCTGTATCCAGTAGAAGGTTTGGTTTGGTCTACCTGTATCCAGTAGAAGGTTAGGTTTGGTTTACCTGTATCCAGTAGAAGGTTTGATTTGGTCTACCTGTATCCAGTAGAAGGTTTGGTTTGGTCTACCTGTATCCAGTAGAAGGTTTGGTTTGGTCTACCTGTATCCAGTAGAAGGTTTGGTTTGGTCTACCTGTATCCAGTAGAGTACATCTGTCCACCCTTCCAGTGTAATACACTGGAACACAGTTAACATCGCCAGAATAAAGTTATCAAAGTTAGTTATCCCTGAAATACAGGAAACTCATCAAATTATGCTTTTAATAAGTTAAGTTTTTTTTACTATACTATACGACCTATAACGCTGTGAAAAAGGAAGACGACTGTGAATTATTATATTGAAAAGGCAAGTGAACATACACACAGCAATTGTGCGGTATATGTAACAGCTAGAGCCAATTTCACTTTAAAAGTTTTTTCAAGCAACTGTGAAACTATTGGCTTTCCAACAATATCGAATAGGCAAAAGATTGCTTAAATTTCGTCTTCCTATTCCACGGTATTATGGGTCCCACTGTACAAATATATATATATAGTTTTTATAAGTTTGAAGAGTGTGACTATGATTTTCTGAATTAATGATTTATGTCGAGGAGGAGATGCAAGTTTCAACTCTGTAATGTCTGGAAACTTTAGTTAGTTTTCAACCCAACCAAGTTCAGTCTGAAAGGGAGTGTTCACGTGTCTTGAAAAAGATATAATACATGAACTTTCGGTATTTAGAAGTTTTATTAAGCTTAGGTGAGGACAGAATGATTAATGCTTGCAATGGAACTAAGCACATCCTGGAATAGTTAGAGCGAGATGCGTTCGGTGTCTTTGATTTTAGTTCAATCGCGTTTTGGTTTAAAATTAAACATTCGAGTAGTTATGATAGTTATGCAGGGCTTGGAATTACAGAACAAATTCAATGTTAAGTTGGAATAATATATAATATAAAATTAATGCAGAAATAATTATACAAAGGAATTGAGTCTTTTCCACAAACTCTGCTTTTCTAAACCCTATATCTTTGGATTCCAATGTCGTAGACCTTAAATATCAAAGATTTGCGACATTGGAAGATATTAAAATTAACAATATTAAATAATTAATAAAATATTAAAAATTCTAAGTTTGTGGCAAAGACTCAATTCCTTTATGTTTAATGGGTCAAAAGTTGATCGAAAGTCACACCCTAAATCCGAATGTACGGGTAATAATGTTGAAAATCCCTGTAATCTTGAAAATCTTAGTAATGGGTAAAAATATAGACAAATCTTTAGTAACTGTTTCTTACCTTCATTAGGTCCAACCCAATACTCTCTACACACCTCACCAGCACTTTCATCACACTGGTAGGAACCTCCACACGGTCTTAATATAGGTACAGGTACAGGTACAGGTACAGGTACAGGTACAGGTACAGGTACAGGTACAGGTACAGGTACAGGTACAGGTACAGGTACAGGTACAGGAAAATAAAAGACAAACTAAGAACAGCAAAAAGAAGAAATCTATAGATGTCAGTAAGAAAATGGTTGCCCCGGAAACAGTAAAAGGTTGAATTAAAGTTATTGTTTGTCTTTTTTAAACTATCCTGAAGTACCATTCAGTTTTTTGTAAAAATTCTCGTAGTGACTAACTCTCAGTCTTGAGAATTTTGTCTGTAAAAGGAAAACAAATTTGAATGGAAAAATAACTTCAATTGTATAGAGTGAAACCAATTTGTTAAAAACAATTTTTACGTGCTAGTAAATTTTTTATTTTGTGTTTTGGCAAAATCTTCTTTTCATTTTTGCTATTAATTGATTACTACGTCACTATAAAATGCATTGTTACAAAGGAATTGAGTCTTTGCCACAAACTCTTATTTTCCAATCCCTTTATCTTTGCAACCCAATGTCTTAGACCTTATTTATTTCAAACTAAGTATACTGTTAGATCAAATAATTTAAGTTTGAAATATCAAAGGTTTACTCCATCAGGTTATAAAGATATAGGGATTTAAACATTTAAGTTTGTGACAAAAACTCAATTCCTTTCTGGATATTCTAACTCAACAGAACATATATACACTATACACAGCATTAGAATGTTGTAATATTATGTACATATAAAATGTTTTTAACTTTGCATTTATTAAAAATAAAATTGTAATAAACCTGTGCATATATATATATATCAAGTGCAACAGCAGTCTAATTTTTAAGAGATATATTGTAAAAACCCATTTTTTTAGTAGATTCATTCAATATGAAAAAATCTATGTTACCTAATTTGTCAGAAGTTTGCGTAAAAAAAATTATTGTTTTTATGATGGATTTCAACTAATTATCGTTCCGTATCAATTTATACTTCATTCAAATGCTAGTTTTTTTAACTCGCAATACTGAATAAAGGATATCTTCAGTATTCTAAAATTTTTACGTAATTTTTCATTATTTTGAAAAAAGTGAACAATCATCTTAAAAAGATAAAAAACCTATTGTTCCAAATCCTCTTCTTTGAACCGTTTTACATTTTCAAATAATTGAATAGTATTCTTTTTTCCAGGGAGTCCGCGGGGAAATATTAGGGCTGGCCAACGCTCGGTTAAAGAATGACAAGTATTTCAAAATTAATGTTTCTGTTAACGAACTCAAAAACTGTTAATTTTGAAATCGGTCAGTTGGTAAAAAACGAAAAAAACGAGCAATTATGGGTTTTTTAAAGTGAAAGCGAATTTCGTTTTTTTTTCTGTCAAATATTGCATGAAACTTACTGAAAATAAAGATTTTTTTTACTTCTATTTTTATATAACAAAATCGTTAACGTCTCGTTTTGCCATTAGCGATTTCTAAAACATCTTTAATAAACTTCGAGAACAAGATTGGGATTGTTAACAAACAGTAACTTAAAAAAACGGAAAATACCGTTAACTGAATAGAACGACCAATTCTTTGGTCTTTTGAACGATTTTAGCAAACCGTTGACGAACGTGGTTTTTACAAAGTCTGAAGATACCCAGCCCTAGAAAATATTGAGTGAAAATAATCTTTTTTGTTAAAAGCATTCTTCTTTCTCTTTCTACAATGTAGTGTTATACTCTCTATACTGTGGCAAACTATCAGGAGAAAATATTATGTTGTCACAAGTTTTAAAACTTTTAAAAGTTTTTTTTTCTCAATTTTTAGGAAGTTTGCTGTTTATTGTGCTACTATTAGCTTAGCTTTATTTACTGTGCAAGAATACATTTTGAATGAATACATCCTAGAAATGAGATTTTAATGTATTTTGTAATTATATTTGTAAATGAATAGAGGAATAAGTAAAAAGTGATGATAAACTGAATAATTTAATGAATTGATAAATAAATGAAAAAACGAATAAATGAATAAATGAATAAATGAATAAATGAATAAATGAATAAATGAATAAATGAATAAATGAATAAATGAATAAATGAATAAATGAATAAATGTAAATGAATAAATGAATAAATGAATAAATGAATAAATGAATAAGTAAATAAATAAATAAATGAATAAATGAATAAATGAATAAATAAATGAATAAGTAAACAAATGAATAAAAAAATGACTACCTAGGATCATTGGAGGCTAGTTTCCCAGTTTGATTGCTGAAACAAGCCTGAACAAGGTTATAATACAAAGCTGAACAAAAAATACGAAAAAAATACATCATGAAAATTCTGAGTACGGAGCTAGGTGTCTATATAAACATTCAAATCTTCTTCCAAAGTTTCGTCATGGGCATTGGGAGTTGAAAATTAAATTATTTTATGAATATATAGATCTCACTTAATTACCGCGTTTTTGGGACTTAAAATACTCTTAAATATTGGAACTGTTGAGATCGGGCCGGGTTTAAAGTGTTTTCCGTCTGTCTTAACATTTGATTTTAGCGAGCACTTTTTGGTGGTTTTAGATCTAATGATTTCAAACTGAATTGTTTATTCTTTCATTCATTTTTGAAAAGTAATTCGGCATTTTCTTAATAAGAGTCGGAATGGGAATACTTTAGTTTACTTAACCTTTTATGATAATTAAAATTTATATTTTTATGCATCGTTTTACGTTTCTTAACAATTTAAAGAACACTTAGAAGAAGATAGTTTTTTATGGACGTGTACCATTTTGTTTCTTTTAGTATTTGTTGGTTGGATCGGTTTTAAAATAATATTTTAACATTTAGTTGAGTTTGATAATTATTACCTTTCAAGTTTAAAATATTTAATAAAAGGATTTCAACTGTTTGCCAAATGTGAATATTTAATAGTTTCCAGTAATAAATATAATTTAAATATTTAACAAGAATTCTTCTTGAAATATATCTTTTTTTTAGCAATAATACTGTAAGATCCAAACTACTGCGGATTGAATTTAGTGATTTTTATTTAAATATTACCTTTAAAGATATGTTCTATCTATTATGTATGAAAAAGTAATATCTGTTTGTTTGTGTGTCCAATCGTAACTCAGGAACCAAATAACCAATTTGACATAAATCTTAATTGGGGAACTATATAAAACCACAGTTCTTGCTCATAATAAGCAATGCAGAAATTTTCAGAATTAAAGAATTTTCGAGTGAGACGACTAAATAAAATTTTGACAGTCGTCTCTGAAGTATTATCCTTTGTGGGTAACTCTGTATGTAAATCAATAACCCAAAATAAATGATGATGTTTACCATATGCATGACTCCCATGAACATCTCCAGCCCAATGATTGCGTAGATGATGATGACGAACAAGACTAGAAGGGCGATATGGAACAATGGGATCATAGCCATCACTATAGCGTTCAGCACAACCTAAACATACATAGCTAGTAAACTGTGAGCTGTTCCTTTAAATCCAGATTTTCCTTCTAAATATTTATATCTCCTCCCCCCGCACCTCTTCCTGCATAAAACAATATATTTCAAAGTAGAATTCTTTTATGACTGGATTGTACATATTGTGAATTGGAAGAATTTCTTTTAGTTTGTTTTTAGCTTTAAGGGACACTTGACGAAACTCGTTATCCCCTTCTGTCAGCAACCTTCTCCCACCTTTCCCGACCTTCTCCCACCTTCTTCTTCCGTTTACGACCTTAACCTTCTCCCTCCTTCTCTTCTTCTCCCCACCTCCCCCCTTCTTCTCTTCTTCTCCCCACCTTCCCCCACCTTCTCCCTCCTTCTCTTCTTCTCCCCACCTCCTCCCTTCTTCTCTTCTTCTCCCCACCTTCTCCCTTCTTCTCTTCTTCTCCCAACCCTCTGTTCTTCCCCTTTCCTAGCTTGTTTCTCTCCAACTAATTTTAAACAAATTATATAAAAATAATTATTCCCCTTAGTCCTATGCACTGTTCTTTAAATCTGAATAATTTAAACCTAAATTAAATATTTAATTCTAAGTCTAGAAATATTTATGAGTAGCTTATCCACTGTCACAAACTATCAGCAAAGTGTGTTTTACATTATATACAGATAAACGTTGTAAGTTGCTAATTTGTAATTTCAATATTTTTCACAAATTAAACATTTGCAGTTTATTAGACAGAAGACATATGAGGAAAAATGAAAGTTAAAATTTTAAATTCAATCATATCATCAAGTCATACCATGGATTAAAAAGTTTTACGTGTAATTTAAATGCGTATTTTGAAAATTTTGAGAATCTAATTCTTACAATTTATAGTTTACCTGTAAACTTGGTACTCCAGAAACAAGCCTAAGCGGCCTCAGAACTCGAAATGCCCTCAAAGCCTTTAATAATAAGTAATTAATTTAGAGTAACTCTATCAGGAGATCCAATGCACCAAGGGAAGGGTAGAGGGGGTGGGGGCAGCAGGGGATGCGCAAATTCAAGGAGGGAAAAACTTTTAGAGGGAATACAGTATTAAGATTTAGCTTACTTTGAAATGTTGCCTCAGTTTACAAGATTGGTCGATTTTGAAGTGTCTCAAAGCGTTGGGCTTTGATTTTACCGCTCTAACTCACTTTTGCTTTATAGTAGCCTTTATCATAACATTAACATTTAAAAATGGTAAAGCTGTTAAAGAGAGATATTGGAATTTGGTTTTGGGAGTGTTTACATCATCTGTATGTTTTAAATATAACTCTGTTTCTATTTTCCAGCAGGATAAGTTGGGTTGACATTTCTCTTTTAATGGTTTCCAATATAGAATTAAAATCCTTTGTTTAAAAACAGATAACTGCGCACTGTCCACACTCTTTTTAACCCCTTCTCAAGAAATTTACAAAAGACTAAAACATCAATATCTGCGTATACTCTTACCATAAGAAACCAGATAACCGTATATACTTCTACCATAAGAAACCAGATAACAGTATATACTCCTACCATAAGAAACCAGATAACCGTATATACTCCTACCATAAGAAACCAGATAACCGTATATACTCCTACCATAAGAAACTAGATAACCGTATATACTCCTACCATAAGAAACTAGATAACCGTATATACTTCTACCATAAGAAACCAGATAACCGTATATACTTTTACCATAAGAAACCAGATAACCGTATATACTTTTACCATAAGAAACCAGATAACCGTATATACTCCTACCATAAGAAACTAGATAACCGTATATACTCCTACCATAAGAAACTAGATAACTGTATATACTCCTACCATATGAAACTAGATAACCGTACATACTTCTACCATAAGAAACTAGATAACCGTATATACTCCTACCATAAGAAACTAGATAACCGTATATACTTCTACCATAAGAAACTAGATAACCGTATATACTCCTACCATATGAAACCAGATAACCGTATATACTTCTACCATAAGAAACTAGATAACCGTAAATACTTCTACCATAAGAAACCAGATAACTGCCTAGACTCCTATTAAGGGAAACTAGATACCTAAGTACAAATAATGGAAACCAGATAACCGTATATACTCTGTACTCCTACGAAGGGAAACTAGATACCTGAATACTAATAAGAGAAACCAGATAACAGCGTAAACTCCTACTAAGGAAACCAGATAACCTTGTATGCTCCTACTAAGTGAAACTATAGGTATACCTGAGTAAAAATATGGGAAACCAGATAACCGCATATACTTGAGAAGTCAAAAACTTTAAAAAACCAACCTTAGCGTCGAATCCTTCAATCTCCATTGATGAGAGAAAAATATCGAAGAACCCGATCATAACGATTGTAAAGTCGAGAAAATTCCACGTATTCCTAAAGATTATATATAGTGGTCAGCATATGTATACTATATACAAATTCGATGTGAGTTGGATGTTATTGAAGCAAAACGTTCCACCAGTATAATAGATTGAAAATCTACTTATATAGTAAATTTGGTCTTTTTTCACTGCACAATCGCTTTGCTTAATGTTCATTGAGCTATATTAAATCATAACTTTAGTCATATCAGTCCTTTCCAATAGTTTTATGCCTCCCACTGTACGACAAATAAAACAATTTAAACTCAACCAGAAAAGAAAGTTCTTAAGATGAAAATTCCAGGGGTGGCTAGAGGGTGGGGACTCACCCCCTGCCTCCTCGCCCTTCCTTTACCAGAGCCATAAAGTAATTATTCTTGCAAATATTTTACCTTAAATATGCTTCATCATGCTGCCATAGACCATAGGCTATTATCTTTGCGAAGCATTCAACAGTAAAGATTACCATAAAAATTACCTAAGTGAAAAAATACTAAAAATCAGAATTTGTTCTTTTTGCTTGAACACCTTGCTTTTTTTTGAGGCAAACATTCCGAGGACTGCCACGTATTTTCTGTTTTTTTTTTTTAATATTAATATCGTTTAAATCTTTATAAAAACAAATATCTTTGTATTTTCCTCCTTGGAAAATTTTCATGTAATAAGCAAGAATATCTCCGAATCAGCCAAAGGTTTAATGGCGTCGTTTAGATCGTAATTACGTCGATTATATCTATGTTTTCTTGTAACCCTTAAGTTGGAATAAAGTAGAAAAATATTTTCTATATTATGAGTAGTTGAAAGAAATTGTTCCTATGAAGAAGATTTAGCAAAAAATAAACCGGAAAACTACATAAAGGAATTGCGTTTTTGCCACAAACTCAGATTTTTAATTCCTGTAACTTAGCAGCCCGTTTTCCTAGACCTTTGATTTTTTAAACTATTAAATCTGGTAGATCATATAGTCTAAGTTAGAAATATCAAAGGTCTACACCATCAGGTTGCAAAGATATAGGGGTTAGAAAAGGTAAGTTTGTTGCAAAAACTCATTTCCTTTGGCTCCCGCTTGTAATGATATTTTCTGTATACTTACCAATTTTGTTAGTTACAAAAGAAAATAATATTGGTCTATTTTCAGGAAATAATTTTCAAAAACAGATTTATTATTTTTACATAGATATCGATATCATGTTATTGCTTCGCAAAATAAAGGAGTTGAGTTTTTGCCACAAACTATGATTTTCTAATCTCTATATCTTTGTAACCCAATGCCGTAGACCTTAGATATTTCAAACTGTTAACACTTATAGATAAAATAATCTAAGTTTGAAATATAAAAGGTTTGCACCATAAGTTTGCAAAGATATTGGAATCAGATGATTTTAGTTTGTGGCAAAAACTCAATTCCTTTGACAATTTTTTGTCGTTGTACTACGAAAAAATATTAAAAATGTTCACCTCTATATCTTCTAAAAGAAAATATAAAAATGTTCACTTCTATATCTTCTAAAAGAAAATATAAAAAATGTTCACCTCTATATCTTCTAAAAGAAAATATTAAAAATGTTCACCTCTATATCTTCTAAAAGCTTGTTTGTATCATCACTATCATTGTTTGGGTAGGGGGTATTTAGACCCAGAGATACACAAGTAGCTAAACATAATAGATTAGATACAGGGTTACCACAAAAAAATTTGACTTAAAAGCGAGAGCTTTGTAAGATCAAAAAATGAATGAGATATCCATGTTTTTAACTTTTTTTCTGTTTTTCTTTAGTAGTGTATTCGGATATCAGAGTTAATTGTTTAAATTCTGAAAAAAAATCAAACTATAGAAGAGAATAAAATTTAGAATTATTAAGTACATTTTCCGAATCCGTCTGAAATCCTAATATTCTTAAATGTTAGAATATGTGTCATGAAGATTAAATAGTCTTTCACTCTCTGAATCTCTATATTTTGGTGAATTCCAACTTTGTCACCTCATACCTATTTCAATTTTCAACTTACACACAATATCTTGTGAAAAGTAAACTTCTAACGGCTCGGAGGAATTTTAAAACTTAATTTTCTTAAGACTAGCTCTTCAGAAAATAATGTTTTGTTTATAAACATGTGTTGCTTACCTAAAATCGTCACTAGGATAAAATGTTCAAAAGTTTTTGATTCTGAGAGAGCAATGCATGCTTTACGAACAGGATTCTTCAGTTTGAAGCAGTAAATAGAACGTGGGGCCCTAGAAACAAATATGATAAAAATTTTAATTTTGTGGAGTGGGGTTGAGAGTGTGTGATACCAGTTCTCGTTAACCCTATCCCCGCTGGGGTACTTGAAAACCAGGATACGCTGGGGGGGGGGGGTCAATTTGACCCCCCCCTCTAAATCCCATGTTTTTTGTCCAAATATGACAAATGATACATCATTAGAAAGCTCTTGTGCTCTACTTTTAGAATCTGCAAAAAAATTTGCAAATTTGCGAAAATTGAATTTTTTATCGCAAAATCCAATTTTATAGTAAAAATGTTTGCAAAAAAAATTTGTCCAAAAAATGACAAATTATACATTTTTGAAAAGCCCTTGACCATGCCATTTCAAATATGCAAAAATTTTTGCAAAATTTTAAATAACCTGATTTTTAATCAAGAAAAACTAAAAATGTGCAAATTTTCTTTGACAGGTTGTTTGCAAAAAATTTGCAATTTTTTTTTTCGCAAAACTTGGGCAATCCGTTTCCTTAGGTCATAGGCTTTCCAAAAAGCTAAATTTTATCAAAATCTGACAAGTGAAAGTGGGTCAAAACAAAGATTTAGTTTGCTACAGGCAAAAGCAGTCATTCAGGCAGTGTGCCTGAGGACTCAGGCAGTTAGTATTAAAGCCCGGTTTTAGGCCTAAAGGGAGGGCTTTGGGTATGTAAGAAAAGTCAGAAAATTTCAACAGCCTCAGACCAATACTTTTTGAGTTATGTAAAAAAAACTACAGGGGGGGGGTCAAATTGACCCCCCCCCCCCAGCGGGAATAGGGTTAAGCACACTTGTCCAAAGCCAGTAACTGGATTGGTGTCCAGACTGGTGTCCCGTACTCCACACAAAACTGTGGTTTCAAAAACATCTGAAGCCGACATCTGGTTAAGCAGTTATGACCTGACGGATGTAGGAGGACAGAGAGAAGGCGGTCAACAACTCTCGCAGACAAAGGGTGCGTTCTTTCTACTCAACGAGAAAGAAGCTTGAAGTGGATTGATCCAAGTGCCAATGATGATGAAGAGAGGAGAGGTGGACAAGCAGGGACAGTCTATGATTGCCGGCTATAGGTACCTGGGGGTATCCAATCAGGGGTTAAAGATGTTAGGGAGAAATGAGAGTGATGTTTCGTGTCTGTATGGCACTCGAGCCTCATTCCAGTATATCAGAAGAGTTCCTGCACTCTATTATTCTAAGGCCTAAGAAGCTGGAATCTTGTCAACCCTCTACTCAATGTGAATGAAGCGTGGATGGATGAATGTGCTGCCAGATTACAACCCCTGGTAGATCAATATAAAAACCCAGACAACACCAAACTTTCGCAATAGAAAAATTCCGAGATTTGATCGTAACAACCCGATCATGTCCTGGGGACAAAAAAATCTCTTTTAAAAAAATCTAAATCTTTAAAAAAGTTTGTTTCTTCTTTTATAAATAAATAACTTTGTATAGAACCATATTTTAAAATAGTTTTTAAAAAATTTTCTTCTGTTGACGATTGAAGACTCATGTTGCAGATACGATCGGTTGAAACATGTGAAAGTGAAGCGCAAATTCTAGCTTTGAGAGAAAAACAAACACTTGGTAAAATGTAAAATTAATTAAAAAGAATTTTCTGTTTGTGTCATTTTAATGTAATTTACTGTTTGCTGAGTTTCTTAACTTTTAATAGTTTTTTATCGGTATAAACGAGTTTATTAATATATTTTGTTTGAAACAATCGTGTTTTAAGTAATCGTATTCAATGCAACAAGAAATAATCATAAAACGATGGTAAACAAATTATAACAAGTAAAAAACACTTTTTTTGTTAACACAATTTTAATTCTTAATGAATAATACATCGACACCCCTGAAAAGTGTAGAAAAATGCATGGTACAGTTTCTGCAGGAGGAATGGAAACAACCAAAGTAGAGGAGTTGCTTATATAATCATCACGGAACTTATGCAGAACACAGATTGTTAACAAAGGTTTGAAGAATCCTGCTGTTTCTTCCTTTGTTCTCCGCCAACTATACGCAACTCCTTTGAACTGCTGCCTCAGGGTTATTGTGAACGTAAATCAACATCTAGTGTCCTATCTGTTATTTAAATTAATCTATGACTCGTCTAAACATCTTATATCTTATCTATATTACTTTACAGCCTGATATCGTAGAATATGATTTCAAGTCGACTACCAACTGGAGTATTCTCATTTTTTTTAACCTTTATTAACCCCAGGTTACCCATGGGGGTCCTAAAACAATCTGCCAATTTGACCCATGACCTTTTATATATATGAGGTTAAAGCTTTTACTATATAGATAAGCATAAACCCACTCTAAAATATCTAAGATATACTCCATCAGGTTGCAAAGTAACAGGGATTATGACATCACAGTTTGTGTTGTGTGATGAGTTCCTTTATACCTTTCTACTGGTGGTAGAACAACCCTGGCCCCTGCTTTAGGTTTGGCTGCTACAACTTCCTCCTGAAGCTTCCTAAAATCCGTTTCCTGATCCATCACGAGTTTCCTAAATAAATATCTGTTTCTTGATGTATCACGAGTTTCCTAAATAAATATCTGTTTCTTGATGTATCACGAGTTTCCTAAATAAATATCTGTTTCTTGATCCATCACGAGTATCCTAAAATCTGTTTCTTGATTCATCACGAGTTTCCTAAAATCTGTTTCTTGATCCATCATGAGTTTCCTAAAATCTGTTTCTTGATCCATCACGAGTTTCCTAAAATATCTGTTTCTTGATCCATCACGAGTTTCCTAAAATCTGTTTCTTGATCCATCACGAGTTTCCTAAAATCTGTTTCTTGATCCATCATGAGTTTCCTAAAATCTGTTTCTTGATCCATCACGAGTTTCCTAAATAAATTAAAACAAAATGACAAATTTTAAATTTAGCATAAAGTTTATGCAGGAAAATTTGCTACAATATCATGAAATGTTCCTTAACCTGATAATAATAACAAATTTTTATTTCTTGTGATTACAACATTTTTATATTTTTGCTTCATGATTTCAATAAATAATTGTTCATACAGTGATTTGAAAACGATAGTTTTTTTTTCAAAAAAGAATCATTCGGTTTTTATAAAAAACGCACATAAAATTCAGACTTCTTTAAAATGTTCTATCAATTTTAAAGACTGGATCAGCTTTAAAGAAACACAATTGATTGACCGAGTCTGATGATGAAACTCTGTAATTAGAAATATGCACTTCTGCCTTTAATATAGTTTTCGAAAAATTCAATTGTTGATGAAAAACAGATTAAATGGATTCGATAAAGTCGTCTCCGAGGTTTCATAATTTGTGGGTGACCCTGAATAACCTATCTGCAGTTTTTTTCTTACATTTTTTTTGATGAAAGGGATTACTTAAGAGATACTGAATTTTTTAAGTTTCATATCCAATTACAACGCGATACCCTTAAATACCGTAGAACTCCATTTTTTTTAGCAATGTCTTTTTTATTGTCTAAGCTATGTCCAACGCAGTTTTAAAACATTTTTTCCCCTTAGATTCCAGGAAGGTACATACACCATTTTTAGATAAAAAACAGGTTGCAACAAAAGTTATTAACAATAACACGCGTGTTGTCGAATAAAAATATGGATCTTTTATCTTTGAAAAGTTAAAGGGTACCGTTGTAAATCGATCACCATTCTACAAATGAAGTTCTATATTGTTATAAATCTAACCACTTGTATCCTTCAGGTAGAACTAGATCTGCTTCAGTATAAGGGGTTGGTTCCCTGGACTCGGCATGGGAAAAATGTCGTTCAAAAAATACCTGAAAAATTAAAATTTAGAATTTTGCATTCATCTTGTATTCTGCAGTTTCTAAAACTTGCTGCAAAAACTTTGCTGTGAGTTCGGAGAAAATCAATCTTTTCTGTGTCTTGTGTTTCTGCTTTACAACTGATAGGTCTTCTTTAAGTTTCAAAACTTTTAGAGACAAATTTTTAAATAAAAATATGGATTTTAGACCAAATTTCAAGTAACCCTGAATTAAAAGCGTTTCATGTCTGATTAACAACGGTACCTTTGTTTCCCCTTTTTCTCTCTTGAATACAAGGGTAACTCGACATTGTTTTCAATGCTAAAGTTGTGAATCGAGCAGGCACTTCTTTAAATAAAGGGTAACTTGAAATGGAATTAGTTTTTACCCAGGAAAAAGTTTTGTTTACAAATTAGATTTATGAGTTAAAAAAACATGTGGTACTTGGATTCTTTTATGGTACAAGGATACACTGTATAGTATAAGAATACACGCACTGTATGGTACAAGAATACACTGTATAGTACAAGGATACGCTGTATAGTACAAGAATACACTATATAGTACAAAGATAAACTGTATAGTACAAGAATACACTGCATAGTACAAAAATATACTGTATAGTACAAGGATATACTATATAGTACAAATATATACTGTATAGTACAGGGATACACTGGCACTGTACAGTACAAGGATACACTGTATAGTACAATAATACACTGTAAAGTACAATGATAAACTGTATAGTACAAGGATACACTGTATAGTACAAAGATATACTGTATAGTACAAGAATACACTGCAAAGTACAAAAATATACTGTATAGTACAAGAATACACTGCATAGTACAAAAATATACTGTATAGTACAAGAATGTACTATATAGTACAAATATATACTGTATAGTACAGGGATACACTGGCACTGTACAGTACAAGGATACACTGTATAGTACAATGATACACTGTAAAGTACAATGATAAACTGTATAGTACAAGGATATACTGTATAGTACAAAGATATACTGTATTGAACAAGGATATACAGTATAGTACAAAGATATACTGTATGGTACAAGGATACACTGTAAAGTACAAAGATATACTGTATGGTACAAGGATACAGTGTATAGTACAAGGACATACTGTATAGTACAAAGATAAACTGACAATGTATAGTACAAGGATATACTGTATAGCAAAAAGATAAACTGTATGGTACAAGGATACACTGTACAGTACAAGGATATACTGTATAGTACAAAGATATACTGTATGGTACAAGGATACCCAGTATAGTACAAAGATATACTGTATGGTTCAAGGATACACTGTATAGTACAAAGATATACTGTATTGTACAAGGATAAACTGACAATGTATAGTACAGGGATACATTGTTTAGTACAAAGATATACTGTATGGTACAAGGATACATTGTTTAGTACAAAGATATACTATATAGTACAAGGATAAACTGACACTGTATAGTACAAAAATACACTGCATAGAACAAGGATACACTATATTGTACAAGGATACTGTAAGTGTATAGGGTCAGGTATAAACTGACCCATGTATATGCTGAGTAAGCTTTATCTCTGGACACTCTCAAGCGGGATCTGCAGCACTTAGAGTAGATCAATTCATAGACTTTATGCTTCAAGTTAAAGGGAAGTGAGGGGAGGGGAGGGTGCTGACGTAGTTAATCATTAAACTAAGCAAATTAATTCACACAAATTGTATGAAGCGGGTAGGGCAGTCAAGGGGGGGATTTTATTCAGTAAAAAATGGGCTATCTTAGTATTTCAGAAGAATGAACATATTTCCGGCTTCACTTTGATTTAAAGGCCAAAACTTTGAGAATTTTGCCAATTACTTCTTAAAAAATCAACAAGTGCTTTATAGTGTTAAAATGTACATGTAAAGGGCTACAGAAAGTATAAGTGAGTTAGAGCGGTAAAATCTAAGCCCAATGTGTTGGGACACTTTAAAGTTCACCCTGTCTTAAAAATTGATGAGACTTTTTATAAGCAAGCTGAATCTATGTGTCTGAAGAATTAACTCTAAACATTGGGGGGGGGGGGGGGGTAGGCGTTTAGTGCGTTTCCCCTCTAATGTTTTTGCACTCGCAGCCTCATTTTTGACAATATCTCATTAAAATAGCCCATAACTGGTTTCTTAATTATAGTACAATAGATCTAAACTTACATTTTTGAAAAGCCATTGAAACTATTTTTGTTTTGCAACATCATATCTTTAGTCTAAATGACTTTTTCTAAGTTTATATATTAATACATGACCCTCCCCCCCCCACCCCCTTTAATGGGATTAACAGTTTTAAGTTGAGACACGCAGTTCAGTCGGCAAATATGAATAATGTCATTTCAATTGATTAACTTCATTCAGTTTTTGTAAAAATCAGATTTTTCTTCACAAAAAGTATTATTTTTTACCTGTTTCAGCATTTTGATTTTGTTTAATTATCCTTGTAGACAAAAGTCCTGTATTCTGCTCTTTGTGTTCACTCCAAACTAGAAAAAGGATTAAAGGATGAGATCAAAATTATTGAGATTTTTGGGTACTACTCTTCGATGTCGTAAATCCAGATTCAATGCTCGAATTGTTGTCAAAACAGGTTTTTGAATTTAGATATTAAACAAAAACTTTTGCATAATCTTTTAAGAAAAATAAATAAAATTAATTTATCTTCAGTAATTCTTGTTGATTTCGGATCTCCTTATTATTATTTCAATCTAAAAGGAATTGAGTTTTTGCCACAAACTCTGATTTTCTGATTTCAATATCGTTGCAACCCAATGTCGTAGACCTTTAATATTTCAAACTATAAATGCTATTAGATCAAATAATATAAGTTTGAAATATCAAAGGTTTACATCATAAGGTTGCAAAGATATAGGTTTTACAAAAACTGAATTTGTGGCAAAGACTCAATTCCATTAAAACTCCAAAAAACCGACATTTTGATTTGTTCGGACCTCAAATATTTTGATTTGTCCGGACCTCAAATATTTTGATTTGTTAGGACCTCAAATATTTTGATTTGTCAGGACCTCAAATATTTTGATTTGTCAGGACCTCATATATTTTGATTTGTCCGGACCTCAAATATTTTAATTTGTCCAGACCTCAAATATTTTGATTTGTTCGGACCTCAAATATTTTGATTTGTCCGAACCTCAAATATTTTGATTTGTCAGGACCTCAAATATTTTGATTTGTCAGGACCTCATATATTTTGATTTGTCCGGACCTCAAATATTTTGATTTGTCCGGACCTCAAATATTTTGATTTGTCAGGACCGCAAATATTTTGATTTGTCAGGACCTCAAATATTTTGATTTGACCGGACCTCAAATATTTTGATTTGACCGGACCTCAATTATTTTGATTTGTCCGGACCTCATATTTTTTGATTTGTCAGAACCTCATATATTTTGATTTGACCGGACCTCAAATATTTGTACATACTTAATTTATTTGGTGAGCGGTGGGTAGCATATAGAATTCAAAGTTTGCCGTAGATTTACATTTTTTTCTGTAAATAGTATAGATTCAGAATAATCTGATTCCTCTTGGATATCCTGCAGCAGCTGGATAGCGAGAATTTAATCAATTATTTAACCCTCAAATAAAAAAGTTGTAGGAGTGGATTTTAAGATTATTATTTTACACAAAGTCATGACCTCTGATCATTTATTCAATATTGTAATCAATGAAGTTAGAAATAGAAAATAGAAAAAATTAAATTAAGGCTTTAATAGTTTTTCTTGTATAATTTGCAAAGAGAATAGAATATATACTAGAGTGGAATTTACTAGAAAAAAGTGTAAAACGGCCATTTTGTTGTACTGTTTCCATACTGCAGGTGTACTTCACATATTTATGCTATATAACCTGTTGGGCCCTGGAATATCATTTAATAGAAAATCTAAAATTATTGTTAAAAGAAAACCAAATTATGAAATAGGCTGGTTTCATAATTGACCAATATTCATTTAACATAGACTCTATGCCTTCCACTTTACAAACGATGATTTTCCGTTATAACTATAAATCAAATGATGTTTTTATTCACCTAATTCATTATAAAGTTTATTTAACAGTTTAAAAAATTCGAAATTGAAATGGATAGTCTAGGGAACATACTGTATTCATGTACTCTACTGCATATAATTTGTGAACATTTACATGATTTTTACACTTTGAACTTCCTTTCAGGCGGAAAGGGACTGAAAAAATTCATACAGAGAGATTCTTTTAATTCCTCTCTATATATTCTATTCTCTATGATAATTTGACATGAGGATGAAAGATATAACAAAAAATTCTTAAAGGTGGGCTTTAATGGGAAAAACGAAAAATTCTTTGAAGTTCTTCAGGTTCTGAAGGAGAAATGTTTTTTTAGGGAGGGGGGGGGGGATTTCTCCCTACCATCCCCCCATAAACAAAGACTTAAAAATATGATGTTAAAAGCTAACTGTAAGTTTACAATGAAGAACCATAAAATCAATTCTTGAACTATTTTTAGTTTTAATGCAACACAGAAACAATAATTGCATGATGGGTCTGGTATGCCTGGTAAACCTGGTAGGCCTGGTAGGCCTAGTAGGCCTAGATGGCAAACATAAAAAAATATACAATCATTTTGTTCGACAGAAAGCCAAAAACCTTAAAATTTTGGAGATATTTTAGCTTGTTCACTTTTTTATCAGAAATTATCTAATCCCTTTATCTTTGTAACCTGATGGTGTAAACTTTTTATATTTCAAACTTTGATTATTTGATCTCTCAGAATTCATAGTTTGAAATATCCAAGGTCTAGACTATTGCGTTGCGTTGCAAAGATAATTTGAAAATCAGAGTTTTTGGCAAAGAAACAATTTCTTTAGAAAATAAATGCAAATTATATAGGTAAATATCTAACTGCATATTTATTTCGATATTAGTCAATATTAAAAATAATGTTCTTAATTTGATTAATCGTATGTGCCCTTTTTTCAAGTTATTTGAAGGAATTATGATTAAATACAAAAACAAAGAACTTGGAATATCAAATCCTAGATAAGAAGATACGTACTTAAAATTAAGAACAAAACAGGTCAGTTAGGCAATTTAGGATTTTAGGAACAAGGTTAACAAAAAAAAGAACTATGAACATTATAGGTTTGAAAAAAGGAACAATACAATAACACAAATGTTGGGTGAGTTAGGAACCAAAAAGGAAGAACTAGATTAGGAACATCAAATGTAAAACATTGACTATAGAGCTAGGAACAAGCAAAAAGATTTTTAAGAAATTAGGAACAAAAATTAAGGATTTAAGACAGGGATTTAGGGTCTAGGGACACAGTGTTAGGAATAGGAACAAAAATAGGAACATTAAGCAAGTTACAAGTTATAAAAAAAAACTAGAAATTAGGAACAAAAATTAAAGAACTAGGAACGTAATCCGTAAAGCATGAAATAGTGATCAACATGTGAAGGTACATCCTACAGGCTTATTAAGTAAGGAACAAAAAATGCCCAAAAACATATGCGCATTGTGTAAAGAACGTCATTCATAATGTACACGAATTTGAAAAATATTCAGAAACTTAAATTGCCTCAGTTTCAATATTTTGTCCAGACAATTCAAAATTAGTGAACGTGAGTATTAATATCAAAATTATCAGTCAGTAGACAGTCAGTAGACAGTCAGTAGACAGTCAGTAGACAGTCAGTAGACAGTATTGATATTTGACAATATTGGATTTTTTTTTCAATATTGCATATTTTTCAGTATTGGATATTTGTTGATATCGGATATTTGTTGATATAGGATATCTACTACTATAGTGAATCCCAGATATATAAATAAATGAGTTTTGTATAATGCATAATTCTAAAGAAACTTCTTTTTATTTTTAATTCAAGGTAAATTAATATCCCTGAAATATAAATGCAATTGATATATAAATATTAAACTCTTTTTTTTTTCGCGGTATTTGATCTTAAATATGTAATACGACATTATAAAAAACTCTTGCTATTCATATATCTGGGATTCACTGCATGAGTCTGCGACGTGAGTAAATATCAAATTTATTCTAGGATAAAATTATGTAAGTCATGAAATATTTCCTGTTCGCATTCGAACTTGGCACTTTCGCTGAAATAACGATTTATTTGTACTCTTTTCTTAGCAATTGGGATTACGCGTATCATTTTTATATAAAGTCCGTAATTTGAAATAAAATTTTGTTTTAATTTCTTTTTGTTTGTAATTGTATGTTTGATTGCATCCACCGGACACACATTTTTTGTGGGACCTCACGCCTGACTATGCAGTATGCATCAAGACTAAGATTCATAGAGAATAGAATATATATTAGAGTGGAATTTACTAGAAAAAAGTGTAAAACGGCCATTTTGTTGTACTGTTTCCATACTGCAGGTGTACATATATCTGTATATCTGTATATCTGTATATCTGTATATCTGTATATCTGTATATCTGTATATCTGTATATCTGTATATCTGTATATCTGTATATCTTTATATCTGTATATCTGTATATCTGTATATCTTTATATCTGTATATCTGTATATCTGTATATCTGTATATCTATATGTCTGTATATCTGTATATCTGTATATCTGTATATCTGTATATTTATATATCTGTATATCTGTATATCTGTATATCTGTATATCTGTATATCTGTATATCTGTATATCTGTCTACCAGCCTATTTGGTCGGATCACCTTTATATTTATCTATAAAGAGTATATTCTAGTATCTTCGTGGAAGGGATCATGTCCAATTGAGCATGGAATGGACGGAGCCAGAAATTTTAGAAATTATAAAAGGGCGGAAGAATCAATGATATTTATCAATTATCAATTTATCAAATATGATATAGGAAATTTAATTTTGTTTGAAGGACTTCTTTTTATATATCAAAAATATAAGAAATTACAAGAATTTATAGGAGATTCTTTTAAATGTGAAAACTTTAAAATTCTAAATTTTTTTATGGGCGGCCAGTCCTTCCTGAGTTGGATGTTTTGTCTCTAGTAGAATGATGGTGGTATTATCAATAACAATGCAAAAGGTAGAAAAATAATGTAATATAAAATAAAATAAGGAATAGAAGAATAAGATGTTCAATAAATGTCTGGAAAATAAGAATATTCTCTATTGAATACAATCAATCGTATTCCTGTACAAGATTATGCTAAAATAAAAGAACCAATGAATTTGCAAAATATAAAATTTTATTAAAAATGCCTCTGACTCACTAACTCAGTTATGTTTTTTTGTGGCCCTAGACATGTGCTTTTTAAAACTGCAAAAACTTGCTTTCAGTCTGTAAGAAGTAATTGGCAAAACCCTAAACGAAATAGCTTGCAACCTTCAGATCACTGTGCAGGCTTCTTTTATTAAAAATTACAATAAAACTTAAGTTTTTTATTATCTCTTCCTACCTAAACAATTTCAGTTTCGCAAAGGAACTGATTTCTCTTCATAAAATCTTATTTTTGCAACCTTCTTTTGCCTACAATTGAAATATTCAAGGAATACATCATCAGGCTGCAGAGTAACAATGCTTTTGTGATCTTAAAAATGAGTTTAATGCTAGTATTATTAAATTATTTTCTCATTTTTTACAAGTTCACAAAAAATTGGGCATAGCTTGCTTTGTACCTTAATTGTTTCATTTTTTTTATATTCTCTGTATTTTTCGTATTATAAACTCATTGTATTACACTGTCACCGCCAGATCTGTTAAATTATGAAATTTAAATTCAATATTTTGGTAAATTTTAATATCACCATAGTTTAAAATTCAAATTCAATGTTTTTTGAATTTTTGATATCACATCAGGGAAGAATAAAAAAATAATCAAGAAAAAAAAAGAATTAAAAAAGAATCAAAAACTAAATTACGGTAAAAATCTGATAAAAAGTGGTTTTTATTTACAAACAAATATTTTCATTCAAACAATTATTTTTTGAATACTCCTTTTATATATTCAGATATTCTAGTTCTGAAAAATAATATTTTTAGGACTTTTCAACAAGTAAACAAAAACAAATGTTTAAATTTTATACAGCACCAATATGTCACATCAAATCAACCTCAAATTACGTTTCTGAATTTCGAATTAAAATTATAGAAATGTTAAATAATAAGCAAGATGTACACTGTACACTGCTTGTAATACAATTTAATTACAATATTTTTTTAGTGTAAATATTAAAAATCATCAAATATTTATTCAAGAACATAAATATTTGAATGAACATACAATACAATCAGATTAACATTTCATGTCCTTTGTCCAAAACCTAATTTAGTTACCTCTTCATTTCCTTTTTCTATGTATTTATCAAGTTGAAAAATATGAATCCCCTGCTTTAATATTTCCCTACTTTCTGCAGATTTATTACTTGTTACAAGCATTCCTTCACGAAATAAACTTCATGGCGATAACTAACTATTCCTCCTTTAAGCTCTGGTGCAGAGCAGTTACTTATTATTCCTCCTGTAA